GAAGCAGATCACTGTTGAAGAAGTTTATATATATATATATCGGGGAAACTACTAAGTCAATAAATGGATTGTTGTCAAACTTTAAATGAAACAAAAGCACATTGACAAATGATTTCTTATTAGTGAATTAATCCTAATATAGTTGTAACTACCTAGATTTATAAATTTAAACAATATTTCACAAACATTATGCTTATACGATAAATATTTGTTATCTATTCAAATACGCTACATTTTATATTGAATATTAAACTAGTTATTTTGTTGTCATAGTAGCCGGATTTATTTCGTTACATAAATGGACGAGAAGTACAATTTAATTAGAAGTTATGATAGTTTATTTTTACAATTTAAAAGGAATCATGTAATTACTATTTAAAATACAATAAGCCAAAAAAAACACAACTCAATCTATAATATTCATTTAAATAAAGAATTTCCTTTACATTTTTATTTTTACCCATGCATAATATTTGTTCCCTTCGTTTTGTGTCATTTCCCTTATGTGGTTTGTATTTTCTTTTTTCATAACACTTACAATATACTATCTCTGTTGCCACTAATGATATAAATACCATATATACTAATACTGGTAATAGTAATATGCTTAAAATGCGTCATATTAACAACAAGTTACATTATATACATTTGAGATTATCAATGCTGTGTGTGTATTTGTGCATGTATGTATATATGTAGTATACATCTATAGGAAATTTGAATTCAATGAAAAAGTATTTATAAAATAGAATGCATTGCGAATTCTTTCACTCTCATTTAAATTATACTGTGTGCGTTATTTTATTTTCAATAGTTGAAATCATGCGCCAATTGAAGTTAGACCACCATGGAAAACCTGGAAGCACTGGACAGCCGTTTCGTCCTGTTGTAGGACTCCTCAGTAGTGTATATTCACGATCCCGCCCCCATACTAGGACGAAACGGCCTTCCAGTGCTTCCAGGTTTTCTATGGTGGTCTAGCTTCAATTGACTCATGATTTCAACTGTTGAAATTTCTAAAAATTTCCACAAAACCCATTCTGATTATTTTATTTTGTTTATCTGACTAATTAATTAAACAATTCCCTAATGGTTACTCTTCAATTTAACTAATTTCTAAGTAGAAAATGTATATATATATATATATATATATATATATATATATATATATATATATATATATATATATATATATATATATATATATATATATATATATATAATAGTTATATGAGGCGTTAATAATAATCGTTATTTTCAGCCCCTGAGGCGACTGATAACAATAACAAAAGTCAAGTCTTTTAGATATCATTTTATTTGATAAGTGTCATTGATCAATTGTGGCCAATTCTAAATATTAACTCAATTCAGTACTTTCTTAATTAACGTCGTTGACCAACCATAGGAAAAAAAGCTTTACACTTATTTTTTTAGAAATTCTTATACCTGCTATGGTAAAAAACCTTTGATATCTGTATCTGAACTAACAACAATAAACAAACCTCAAAGTATTAACTGTTTATTAGTTCAAAGTTTAGGAACTGTAGACCAATAAGAGACTAGGACAACTAGAAAATTAAGTACTTGGTATTCCATGACAGGTTATTTTATCTTTGAATTTAATAACTCATTATGTGTTTCTCAAGGTCATTGATATATGATGTACAGAGATCAGTCCTATTAACTCTATGACTTTAATGAAAACAGTGAGAGATCAATTCCTAATAACAATTAACTTTTGTTAATATTTATAGAGGAATGTAAGGTTATGCATTAAACAAACGATAACATGTGGTTAACTATTGAAAAAACAAAAAATGTGTTTCGTTGTAGTACTGAACACTTCAAAAGTACACAACAGTATTTAACTCAGGTTTCATAATACACTTAATATTACGCGACTTGCTCAAATATATGAACTATCATTTGTTCAAACATCCATTTGTTGATGGCAGTCTTTCTTGTTTAGTGTTTATTTTAAATTCCACCTATCTACCAAGTATATTTACGCGCTTTTCTATTATTTTTAAAACCTAATACGAGGCTAACTATTAAAAAGTACTACCACTGTAGAGTATATATTTACCCTGAACATACAGTATTGAATAAAATGAATATTGTTATTTTACTAAAATAATTGGTGGAATAATAAATGACTTTTGTTCTCCATCTCCAATGAATTCACTTCTAAGCTAAATTTTTCCATCCTATATTATCGTCAGTTAGCTGTCTTACTACAGTAGAGAATAACTATACAGACGACAAAAAAGTTATGGTACATTGGTTAGTTATGATTTTGTGATTAAAATTATTCTAAACAAAGAGTATATATATGTCTCTTTGTTTTTTTCATTCAGTACTTTCTTGTTCTTATCATTCTCCTCATAACTTGTTTCCATAAATATTATTCATTGTAGAGTTTTAAAGAATTCAATGGATGCTACAGAGGTGAATCATGGCCCAGTTGAAGATCATAGTCAACAAATGGCAATTTTCTATATCATATTTTTCATTGTATTCCCATTCTTTTTTGTCAATATTTTTGTAGCTTTAATTATTATAACATTTCAAGAACAAGGTGAAAATGAATTAGTCGATCATGAATTGGATAAAAATCAAGTAAATGATGTATACATGTGTCTTTTTTGTTTTTCAAGCCATAGTTTAACATATTGAGCTAATCAGTATACTCTAGTATTTGAGTAGAAATTATGAACAACAGTCGGCATGAAATAATATGAATACATTTTTTTATTTTATAGGTTCTCAACAACTGCTTACAACAGTCTATGTATTGAAATGTTACAGTCATGAATTGTAATTTCATAATTTTTATCGCAAACTGTTCTTGGCTAGTTAACTGTTGAACCCAGAAAGCCCTGGTTGAATGTTTTCCGTAGTATGAAGCTCTTCAGCACTATCGTGGGTTAAAAAAGTGTCCACTGTGATCTGGTCCCTGATGGTTAACTACGATCAGTCAGTAGTGTAAACTACGAAATTCAGCAATCCTGGCCACTTATAATAGTTAATAATAGGCATTGATTGCTGAAAAAGTGAAGTAATAAAAACTACATATATAAGATAGTTACTCAAAAACTGATAAGATGGATTATGTGGTGACTATAGATTTGAAAAGCCTACATAAGTTTTGGGAGTTATATGAATGAAATGACCGTTTTAAAGTGGATGGATATGAATGAATATGTATGAATAATATGCGAAGAGGAATTAATCTCAAAATATCAATTTACTATAATAGTGATAACTGACAACTACCTCTTGTGAGTAAATAAAATGGGTCTGAGTTTCTAATAGCTAATGCTTCAAGAAAGCTTAATGAAACAGAGTTTATCAGTTTGCTTATTACTTTGATAGATTTAGGAATGTCGACAATATATCTAAGTCTGATTAAATCTAGTATGGATAAAGCATCTTTTGAAAAAAGAATCATAATTGCAGCTATGACAAATTCACAGTTTAGTATGACCGGTTAATTAATTTCTATCAGTTACGACACCGATTTCAATCATGAAAAACAATGACATTAAATTTCTGCAAATAATTATGACTATTATTTTAATTTTCTATAAGTCTTTTCGCATTTGGAACGAAATCCTGTACGGTTATCTCCGAAAAATGATCTTTTCATCTGATCCGGACTACGTTGGTGTTACTTTAAACTCTGAAAAAACCCACGATGTCACTTAAAGATTATAATATACTTCATTGTCTAAACTGAAAATAACTACCTCATGAAGTAATATCAGTCAGTGAATCACTGAAGAGCAGATAGCTCCAAAGTGTTAGGTAGTCCTAGTGGGAGGATTTTTCTCTCTATTTGCAAGTTATTAACACTACATAGGTTGGTATTTAGTTCATATGACAAATATAATACCATTCATTCAATCAATTTATATTAAATAGTTTACATTTTTCTATTTTTCTCAATTAAACATACAATACTTTTTTGGTAGCTAACTGTTCCTCAATTGATAATGTTAACCTTATAAGCTACCACTAAACATTTCTTGATAAAATCACACCCTTAACCCATATTATAATTTACACCAATTCTTAATGAAAACATATTGGTAAATTATTAATTACCCGTTTATTTTTTAATCAAAACCAATAATATATTTTTATAAAACGACTAGTGAATTTAATTTCCCAAAAACTCAGCCATCTGTAGCATTAAAATATTTAATTAGAATATGCATGTTAACAGTGCATTTTACTTAAATTAAACTGACTAACCAAGTTGGTTGGTTAGTTGGTTGGTTGTTTGGTTGATTTAAGCATTCGGATTTGAAAGCAAATATATAATAAAGTTTTTTTCAGTACCTTCCTATCTCTTTTGAGTATGAGATATTTTTTTAATTGCTAGACTTAAGTGTATTTCATCCCAAGCCGTGACCAGTGGAGCTAATCCGTGTCGGGTAGAGACAAGTATCTACAGCGTTACAATGGAAGATGGTTGCCCAATTTCGTGGATTGGTTAAGGTTGGACATTAACATCATTGGATGCCGGCTCAGTGGTCCAGTAAGTTAAGCATTCGCGCACGAAACTGAGGGCCCTGGGTTCGAATCCCACGAGCGGGATCGTGGATGTGCACTACTGAGGAGTTCCACAATAAGACGAAACGGTCGTATAGTGCTTTCTAGTTTCCAATGGTGGTCTAACATCAATCGGTTCATGATCTCAATCAAAAACTTAATAATCTCCACAACCCCTATAATGATAATAAATAACCTTGTTTCGTTATATATATATATATATATATATATATATATATATACACAAAACATTTTCACACTCAATATTTCCTGTACATATATCAACATGCAAATTTTACTTATTTTTAATCAAAAAAAATAATCTTTATTCTTTTTTCTCTAGAAACAATGTATTGAATTTGCAATTAATTCAAAACCTTTATGTAGATATATGCCTAGTAATATTGCATCAACAAAATATCGAATATGGAGATTAGTTGTATCTAGTCCATTTGAATATTATATTATGACAATGATTGCATTAAATACTTTAATTTTAATGATGAAAGTAAGTTTTTCTCACAATATTTATTCATTTATTTATTAAATAAAAATAGAATTTATTATAGAAGTCAAATATAAGTTATAGAAAAGTAATTACAAATGTAAAATAGGAAATTAGATTAAGTAACTAACTTGATTTATATCATGATTTGATTAAATAAGGTTTAGTTCAAAAGAAGAATGTAGAAGAAACTTATGATATATTAAAGTGTATATTTCGATAGTGTAATAAGCAAACAGAGTTAATCCAAAATATTTGCTTTACTTGTGCAACATAATTCAGATAACCTGTTTGTAAATTAACTTGTCAAATCGTGAAAACTAATCAAAATAAATTAAATATAAGGTCAATTAGATACAAAGTGATCATTGAAAGTGTTAAAGAGAGAGAGGTAAGTAATATAAAATAAAAAGATTAAGAAGTCATATCAACCCTAACCAAGGGAATCGATTAAAGTTTATCATGTCCGATTCAAGGTTAGAGTAAGTGGTATTTTGTGCGCATACAAGGGAGACTTAAATTTTTTTATTGATCAAGGCTTCTATCTAAAAGCTGTTCTTAAATGTATATAATGACCTATCTTAATTATTTGTTTCCCCATTATGAAACATGATACTTTCCGAGATTATGATATTACCAAACAATTTTGGTCGGAAATTTTACCCTTCTACTTTCAATTATATACTCAGAAGGAATGTGTCCATACTTTTCATTCCTATGTTTTTAATTTTCTCTTTAAAGATTTGGTTAATTACGTAACCTTTGCCGAAATTCCATTTGTCGTTTATTTTCCTAATTCAGAAGTCGTTCTTCTCAGAGCTTAACATTTTTTAACTTTTTTAAAACAATTATCAAACTTATTTTACTAATTTACGCCTGTTACCACTCGTGGAGAAACATAGGATGCTCACTTGATGATGAACAGTTCATATAAACTATCAGTTTTAATAATTTTTCGACTGCTATTTGTATGATAGCATGATAAATACTAATCAGCTGAACAATTAATTCAAATCCTTCAAATTAGATTATAAGCGTTATTACTTAGTAATGATCTTCCTCTTGTAATTAAGATGATTCAAATCAATTGATACTGTATCCTAAAATATGAAACAAGTGTATTTTATTTTATCTTAAATACTTCATTTGTATTTTACTCTTCTTTCCTTACTAGTATTATCGACCAGATTATACAGATGCTAATATGGGCATTCCTGACTGGGAAACACAAAAATATCAAAGTTATTGTAGTACACTAGTTTATTTGAATACAGCATTTACTGCGATGTTTACAATGGAATGTTTATTAAAATTAATTGCATTTGGACCAAAAGTAAGAAATACTATTTACACTGATTTTTTTAAATATTGATTATATCGTCAGTTGGTTTAAAGCAATCAGCACAGATACCTTAAATATATGCTGCAGCTGGTTGGCACTCGTCAGTAAGGGACCTGCGAAACCCCAGAGGACGAATGCTTTTTTACGATAAGAAGCTGTTCCACTCAATATCAGAGTCAGAAAACTGACCTAACTTTCTAAGTTATTTTTTGGCTTTCGTAAAACGAAACATTTTGACTCATGACAAAACATGAATATGTCATCAATATGAATAAAGTTTGATAACTGAATAGGCTATGTCATTTCCTGTTATTTTACTAAATAACTACTGATATTAAACATGTGATGTCAAAATAGACGACTGCCGTCTATCTGTTGCTGATTTTTGATGAAAACTGATTGACTCGTTCGTTATCTATTTTCATTTAATTTTATTGTCACCGAACAATGAAAGTGTTAATGATTTATGATAATTCATAATGATTTTGAAGAGAAAGCGAATAATTTACTTACTACTTAATCAATTTTTACTTCATTACTTGTCTATATGATTTTAGTGACGTGTATATTTGTTAATTCTAAATCGATAATATAACGCAATCCCTAAACAATAGTTTCTCGTTTAGAATCAACTTTAAAGCTATACAAAATGCATTTCCTTTTTCGACACATAACAACTGAAGTATAGACAATTATTAAATGAACAATAAATTTGCAAATCTCTATGCATTCAACGAATTGGTCATAGGAGGCACAATATTTCCACACAAACGCATACACAAAGCTACATGGATCTCACTGAACCACACTACAGAGAACCAGATAGATCATATTTGCATCAATAAAAAATTCCGAAGGACAATGGAAGATGAGAGAACCAGGAGAGGAGCTGACATAGCTTCAGATCACCACCTAGTGGTGGCCAATTTAAAACTGAAGCTAAACAAAAACTGGACAACTGGACAAACAGCACTACAAAGGTTCAATACAGCCTTCCTTCGAGATACTGACAAACTCAATGAACTCAAAATAGCTCTCAACAACAGGTTCCAAGCCTTACAGGATCTACTGAAGGAAGAAGAAACTACTATGGAGGACAACTGGAAAGATATCAAAGAACCACTAACTTCAACGTGTCAGGAGGTTCTGGGCCTCAAGAAGCATCATCATAAGGAATGGATCTCTACAGAAACACTGGACAAGATCAAAGAAAGGAAGAACAAGAAGACAGCGATTAACAACAGCCGAACATGAGCAGAGAGAGTCCAAGCACAAGCTGAATACATAGAAGCCAACAAGCAAGTGAAGAAGAGTATTAGAGCCGACAAGAAGAAATACGTGAAAGAACTAGCAACGACGGCGGAAAAAGCTGCTAGAGAAGGAAATATGAAACAGCTTTACAATACAACGAACAAACTATCAGGGAAATACAGTAAACAAGAGATACCGGTCAAAGACAAAGAAGGCAGGCCAATCACTGAAATTCAACAACAGCGGAACAGATGGGTAGAATACTTCGAGAAACTCCTGAATAGGCCGGCTCCAATGAATCCACTGGACATCGAAGCAGCACACACAGATCTTCCTATGGATGTCAATCCATCAACGACGGAAGAAATCAGAATGGTCATCAGACAAATCAAGAGCGGGAAAGCATTAGGATCCGACAATATACCAGATGAAGCACTGAAGTCAGACATTGAAGTAACTACAAACATACTTAACCTTCTATTCAAAAAGATTTGGGAGGAGGAACAAGTGCCGATGGACTGGAAAGAAGGACACCTCATCAAGATTCTAAAGAAAGGAGATCTGAGCAAATGTGAAGACTACATAAGCATTACACTACTGTCAGTACCAGGGAAAGTCTTTAACAGAGTGTTGCTAGACAGGATGAATGACGCAGTAGACGCCCAACTTCGAGATCAACAAGCTGAATTCTGTAAGGAACGGTCGTGCACAGACTAAATTGCGACACTACGGATCATTGTCGAACATTCAATTTAGTGGAACTCAACACTGTACATAAACTTCATTGATTATGAAAAGGCATTTGATATTGTAGATAGGAAGGCGTCATGGAAACTTCTTCGACATTATGGAGTTCGTGAGAAGATTGTCAATATTATCCGGAACTCATACGACGGACTTCAGAGCAAGGTCGTGCATAGAGGACAGCTGACAGATGCGTTCCAAGTAAGGACTGGAGTCAGACAAGGCTGTTCACACTCTCCATTCCTCTTTCTTCGGGTGTTCGACTGGGTTATGAAGACGTCGACATCTGGGGGAAAACACGGAATACAATGGACAGCTCAGAATCAGTTAGACGATTTGGACTTCGCAGATGATCTAGCCCTCCTATCGCGTACACACGAACAAATTCAGATAAAGACAGCCAGTGTAGCAGCAGTCTCTGCATCAGTAGGCCTCAGTATACGCAAGGGGAAAACCAAGGTCCTCAAATTCAAAGCGGAGAACAGCAATCCAACCACTCCTGATGGCGAAACTCTGCAAGATGTAGAATCCTTCACATATCTGGGAAACATCATCGATGAACAACGAGGTTCAGATACAGACGTAAAGGCGACGATTGGCAAAGCAAGGACCGCATTCCTACAGTCGAAGAACATATGGAACTCAAAACAAATTTCAACCAATATCAAAGTCAGAATATTCAGTACGAATGTCAAGGCAGTTCTACTGTACGGAGCTGAAACCTGGAGAACTACAACAACCATCATCAAGAAGATACAAGTACTTATAAATAGCTGTCTACGCAAGATATTCAACATCCATTGGCCGGATACCATCAGTAACAGCCTTCTGTGGGAGAGAACAAACCAGCTTCCAACTGAAGAAGAAATTAGGAAGAGACGATGGAAATGGATAGAACATACATTGCGCGAATCATCGAATTGCATCATGAGGCAAGCTGTAACTTGGAATCCTGAAGGGAAGCAGAAAAGAGGAAGGCCATCGAACACATTACGTTGGGAAATAGAAGTAGATATGAAAAGGATGAAGAACAACTGGAAGGAGCTGGAGAGGATGGCCTAGGACAGAGTTGGATGGATAATGCTGGTGAGCGGTCTATGCTCCTCCACGAGGAGTTACAGGCGTAAGTAAGTAAGTAAGTAAATTTGTAGACATAGATTTTTTTCAGTCAAACAATTAGATTTTCTGTTTTCAATGAGTTAACTCACAAAATATTGTTTGATTCGATTACAGTAGTGTATCACAACAGAAATTATGATCGTTTGCTACGTTAAATAGTTTTCTACCTATTATGCACTAACTCTGAGTTTCATTCATCTAAAATAATTTTATCATTGAATAATAAGCAGCTACTATTCTTTTTTTAGAGTTATTTTCGTGATTCATGGAATACGTTTGATTTTATAACGGTAGTTGGTAGCATAACCGATGTACTTGTTTCTGAGCTACAGGTAAGTAATTGTATGTTTTCTTGTTTCCATTAATTTTACATTTTATAGAACGACTATTGGCTTCGCCTAAGATATTTTTTGATACATACAGATTTAGTTTAAAACAGAAGTTAATGGTCGAGTTAAGAATGTGAGTTTCATTCTGCTTGGAATCAATATCTAGATGTATATACATACGAGACCTGAAATTAACACATATTATAGTGAATGAGAACACAAGTGAGGACAATCGAATGTACTTGAATACAAAATTACAGAACATCTTAATAAAATCTGTGAACCGTACAGTAAAAAATTCATTTGCAAAATGTCAATCAATCATCTCAGATTTAATTGTTCCTTTCTTTCCACATCAATCAGTCTCTGTACTCATCCTCTTTTCTTTGGTCTTCTTGATCTTCCGCCTCCAGACATTTGACTTTAAATTGATGATATACACTGATTATATTTGTCGACATCGGTAGCACAAACCACAATATCATTCTGAATACCGAATTGCCCTAAAGCTAAGAGCAACATCAAAAAGAAGTGGTAGTTATTATTATTCAGTAACCTCGTTGATAACGTTTTAATATTTTAGACGATGCTTACTCGTTTCTAATCACAACACAATTTCTGACATATCTAGTTGACCCGTTGCAAATATAGAAAAACTGTGTTCCAAACTTCAGTCAGCCAACCAAAAGCAGCTTAGGAACCAAAACGTACGTAAGCCAGTTCAAGCTATTATACTACATCGATGACTTTGAGGAAGGATAACAACATTTTGCTAAAATATAGAAGTTCCACTATTCTCGTGATGGTTATTACTTGAACAGTCAGTTTTTTTATATAAAAACCTTAAAATCATTTTGAAGACTGTGAATTTCGGTCTCTATTCTTCGGCATTTCCCGTATTCATTAATTTTAAACGGCTAAGTAACTCAGTATTGCTAGGTTTTGCCTAGCTACTATTAATGTACGAGCTGTCCGTCAACGAATTTCAGATTTCTCCCGAAAGTCCAAGAGCTATCATCCTGAATTTAATTTCTTTGTCCGTAAACTGTACTTATTTACCCGTTAAGTGATGGCTTTGGATTCGATCTTGTGTGAAGGTAGTGGATAGGCTTACACTACTTTAAACGAGTATAAAGCATCTATTTGGTGCTTTTCGGTTCTAAAATGTTCTCCAACTGTTATATGATGAAAATTCTCTTCGCACTGAAAAAGAAGCAAATTGTAATTAATGTCTATTTCATCTGATTGTTGACATCAAGATAAATTACTGTTTCTTGACAATAAATCACTTCATACTGTCTCTTTTTCGGCATTTGCTTAGTGTTCAAGTTTATTTTAGACAAGTATACGTAATGATAATTGATTATACGCAAAAAATAAAATGAATTAAAACTCTTAATAAATTAAAAAGATTACTTTCAATAGTTAGGATGCGTACATAAGCGTTTATTGAATATGATCAATTATGTTGTAAAAGACAGATTTAAGTTGCAAGTACGTTCTAACCAGTATCTGGTAAATCATTTGCCAATTAACTGTACACCACATGAATGGATTTGATTACATTTAATGTGACTATCATTTGTCTGTACAAACGAGATGTATTTTAGCCTAAATAAACTGGGGAAAAACTAAATACCAGTAGTATAATCATATTTCGAAAAATCTGATCGATATAAGACGAAGATGATGAAACTAACTATTTCTTCAACTGAATGTATATCCGTTTGGATTTGAAGGAAAACTAAAATGAATTTGTTTACTTCAAAGAACCCTAAAAGTTTATATGGATCGGATGTGTCTCAAATTTATTTGTAACTGATTCAGTGATTATCATTAGTTCTTTTCCGATAAATTACTATTAATTAAATAATCTATACTTTTATATTTAAATATTTACATGTTATAAAATGAAATTCAATATTCTTCAGCAACGTAATACCGTCCACATAGTTTATTTCTTAAATTAATAGTATATGATTATTATTATTATGTATTGTTGTTCGATCGAACATATTCGACAATTATTCCTAATAGATGACCTTTTTTCCTAGATATTTTACTCAGATCACAGAAATATTAAGATTTACTTTTAAAACGATGACATCTATAAACTTTTGACTAGTTCTAGTAGAAATCTGTAAAGATGGAGCTTCCTCTACAGAGACTTTTAGAATCAGAATAATTTAGGATGCCTTTACATTACAGATAAGACAGTTTGACTGTAAAAATCTAAATTTACTTCTCGTAGAACTGAATTCACCTATAACCAACTTATTGTAGGTCAAGTTGTATTGATTTACTGTCATTCTTACAGCCTACCTTCAACTACATAACATCTCAACATAGCTCATGCTATATCGAGTCACTCCTATTAGTGATCACATTTCAAAATGATCGATATAATTTGACTGGCATTAAAAGACCTAGACAAATATAATATTAGTCACTTCTCCGTTATTAATCACTTCTACAGAAATATTATATACTTTTTTATTTTTTGTCTATTTCAACATTAACAGAATTACTCTACTCAATAAGATAAATCCATGTAACTGTATATCCTACGTGATGTTGCATTTTTTTAAAATTTTATTTACAGGATTCATCATTTCTTAACTTGGGGTTTTTACGACTATTTCGTGCAGCTCGTTTAATCAAATTAATTAGACAAGGTTATACAATCAGAATACTATTATGGACATTTATTCAATCATTTAAAGCACTACCCTATGTTTGCCTACTTATTACTATGTTATTCTTTATTTATGCTGTAGTAGGAATGCAAGTAAGTTTACTTTAGTTTCTTAGTGGCTTTTACATTAAGTTCTTTAGGAAAATCAAAATAACAAGCTAAGCAATTAGCACATTTCATTCAGAACATGATCAACCTCAGCTTTAATTTTTAAAGTGATAATTGATATAACTATCAGAAGTGAAGACTCATTGGTTGTTTTGTGATATTCTATTTCCTCCTTGATCACCCCCACTTTTTATCTGATAAATGACCTTATACCTTAGTTAAGTAACAGTATAAATTTTTCAATAATATAACTTCAGCCTTTCCAGTAATTAAGTTAAACTGACCGTACCATTTTAACGGTACATTAGAACATTAATGAAGTGTTTCAAATGTAGATTGAAACAGCTCTAAATTGGAACATATTCTTCAAAAAACACAATTTCATTGCGTAAACTATCGCCAAATAGTTTTTCATTTGATAAGTCTATTGTATTATTCTTTTACCGATACGGTATCTTTTCCTTAAGCAGCATAGTTTTTACTGAGAGAAAACGAATTGTATTTGCTTACTTGTTTCAATAAACAGCCAAAAAAAGCTATCGACCCAATTTTATGAATAATTCATTCAGTTAATCTAATTGAAGTAATCAAATAAACTAATTCTGGCCAATCAGCGGATGATACTTAAAAGTCATTGTATCTAACTCAATATGACTAAGCTTCTTTTTTCTAAACAAATAATCAGAGTTTAGATTAAATTAAAGTTGATTTTCTCCGCGTATTTATATCATTTGAGGAACAATTAGATGAAAGGAAGAGGTGGATATCTCTTTTTTTCTAGTATGGGATTCGTCAACATTTCAGATTCACAACCCTGCAACGAAACGAACTCATTATGTTCAAACTTCTTGCCTAGTGCGTTGCCTCTAAACCACTGGTTTTCCACCTGAGGGTTTACATTAACGGTTTCAGTCAGTTCGTAATATGATGCGGCAGTCGTCTAGTACCATTTATGAGTAGTAGCCTCCGTTCCGACAGTGCTGAACTCCTGTTGTCACGATTTTTCATCTAAACGTCAAGAACCCATCACAAAATCCTCCAATTTTGAAGACAGGTCCTATTATTGAATCACAATATTTCAAGAAACACTGGAAAGAGGAAGCCACTAGATAGCTGTTTCACCTCAGCTTGTGACTGTTGATCAATCCGGCACTTGAACCACACATGTGACAAGTTCTCTCTAATTTTTTACGGTTCTTAAGCTGACATCAATTCGTGTTAAAAGCTATCATGAAAACATTTAAAAATTTCCACAAATCCACCTTACTTTACATTAGTAATAGAACTTAATGACTAGTATTTACTAGAAGTATATTTTAATACAACTAAATTCTCTTTAAAACATATGATAATTAAAAATTAAAGTTCACATATACTTTAACTGTATATTCATAATTGTTATTATCATCACTATAAATTTTAAATTGAATGAACTCTTTATGTACAAAGATGAAATAAGTGACCGGAAGAAGTAACAATGTTCAAGTTGTAGATGAGAGCAAACTAGGTAGCGAAACAAGAAAGAAGGCTGAATAAAACTTTACAGAATGTAGCTTTATATATATATATATATATATATATATATATATATATATATATATAATATATATATATATATATATATATATATATATATATATATATATATATATATATAGCTGTACTATACTATTATAATTACAACTTTCAGAAGGAAACTTCTACTCAGATATAATAATGGTATATGCTTTAGAAAATACAATGAAGCCAATATCCTTGTCACACATACTCTTTCTTTGTTCGATTAAATACAACATTAATGATACTTTGAATTACAGAGAAAAAACAAAGGAAGATTAAATGTATTAAATTAAAAAATAAAACAATTTAAAATAATAATAATCCATTTGAAGTGAATTTAACGTAGTTGCGCACGTCTTTATACATACATATATAATTTGTACTGTTGCTATGAAGCGTTTATATGTCCCCATAAAATATAGCAAATCAATTAAGCTACGAGAGATAAAGGTCTGTCGGTATATACATTAAAGCTTATTTGAAGTGAATGGGATTAAAGTAAGAAGAAAATTAATGAATATACGTTTGATGATGTAATGAAAATTAAGTGTATTTAAAAATGAGAAACAATTATTATTCTTTAACTAAGATAGTTTATATCATGGAATGATAATCATTATGAACTATTGAGAGATAAGTAATTATCTCTTCCTAGTAAATAACTCATTAGTGTATATTCGCTGTTCCACAAAATAATAAAATCTATGATCTTTGGATTTCATAACAATGAAATTATCTTTAGGCTGCTCTTATTCCCAATCCATTATATTTGTAATCTTTTGCAACTATCATCTGTGGCTGTCATTGAAATTATATGGTGTTTGATAATGTTGAACTCCACCAGTCACCCCTCTTCATTAAAAGTTCGGGAGTTCTTCCAGAAGTTAGTCGATAAATAAATTTATTGATAAAAAAAACAAGTTAAACAATGTACATATATGCCTACAAAGACTGATTAATCAATTCAAGAACTTAATATTGATAATGAAAAAAATGCAAACACAAGTGCGCATACAGTGACAGGGAAATAAGTGTAAGTTGATAAGTATAGTTAAAGATCATCACATCTGGATATTTAATAATTGTTGCGATGGTAACTTCTGAACATTCAGGCTTCAAGACTCAAACATGGACTCATACCTTCTTTGAACTGCATATATGATATTTACGTGTCATAGGAAACTTTACGAAGGTTAGACTAATTCACAAACAATATAGATTACAAATTAAATCATTCTGGGATTCAATAAGTTACAGAGCCCTTGAAGGCTGGTTTTGTCTTGTTGTACTGTCCAATTCAGCCACAAGCACATATTTAAACTTTGACCAACTAGTTATTCGGGGTAGGAAATTCAAGACTAACTAAATAGCTTGATTACTAAAGGCCAATTAATGATTTTCTCTATTCATGAATACCTGTAGGTCACCAAAATGAAACATTTTACTGGTGACCTAAATAAAATTCATGATTTCGGACAATGAAAACATCTTCAAATAAACAAGCACATGGAACTCTCTTAAAGATAACACTGAATTTACCTACTGTTTATTGATTCGGCATGAAAATAATCCTGTCACTCTTAAAAATAGAATATAGAGAGCAAGATCTTGTCTTTTTGATCCATATCCTTATGTGTGTTTACAATTTCGGAAATATTTCTACTAATATGAATTTAATCTGTAGACAACAAAGGTACGGTTTAGATTCAGTATATTTTATATAACATGCTGTTTCTTATAAATTCATTCTTTTAAAAGAAATTTTCCAAGAGGTTTATCAGTAAACATCTAACCAACCGTAGATAAAAACTACTTCAAATCTATCTTCGAAACTAATATTCGTCTGAGATCATTCACAACTATTTGATATTCATTATGTTGTATCGATTGCTTCCAGACGTTTTTTACCCGTTCATTTAATGATTAAGTACTGTATATTGGAATGTAGTTTTTATTGAAGTTCTCATTTCAAATCCAAACTTTTTACTGCATGTGGATTTTTCAAATGACCTATGGGGCTGTCCTATATCGTCCATGTCCAAAGCAAATAGCTGTGTATAACTCTACTTAATATTATAATTGTTAACTATGTATCAAATGGTAGAATTGAAACTTTATAACAAACAATTTAATAGGCTAATTCTAATTAAAAGTATAAAGTTTTAAAATAAACTTTAATAATAAAAATTAGTAACCTGTAGTTTATGAGCTGTGGATGAGTAAATGAAGCGTTTTCTTGCTGATCAAACTAATCTAATTTCGCTCTCGTTTTAACAACCCAGATATTACTGCTACTAATCATCATTAAAACTCAATGTAATTTTAAACATACTAGGCAAATGAATAAACTTGATAATTAAATTACATATTAATGAGTAATATATCTTTTTTTTCATTTCCCATTAGTAAAATCATATCATCATGTTATAATTATACATACTGATAAGTGTACTGATTCATTTATTTAATATTTTTACCTAGATATTTGGCACGATAGCTATTAATGAAGCTGAAGGACAAATTACAAATTACAATAATTTTCATAGTTTTCCGTATGCAGTTCTGTTATTATTTCGGTAGGTTTAAATAATTATATATATATATATATATATATATATATATATATATATATATAATGCCTTATTAAAAGATTCCCTTAAATTTGAATAAATAGTATTGTACTGATGTAGATACCTGTCTCTACCCGATATGGATTAGCTCCATTGGTCACGGCTTCTCACTAGAACTCCGAGAATTCTCTCACGAAGCTAGTCCCTAGTGAGCACATGGTAATTATTAGTATTGGGTATTTGGAGTATTTGATAATTCTTTTATGGTGGGTATTTTTTCAATTTAATTCTGTTTGTAGGTTGTTTTTCTTTCTAACTTCATTAATTTATATGATACCGTTTATCATTTAAAAGTCAGCAATCAATTATAAACGTATGGAAATCCGTTTAGTTATGTAATGATTAAAACTGATGAATTATTGTATATTGTACTTTTATATTTCATGCATTATAGTAACGTATGTTGAAGATTGGAATTTAAAACCATTCATGTTGTGTTCTCTTGTTTTCACTGATTATTTACTGAAGAGGAAGTTACTAATCTTATCATGTTTACAGAAATGGATGAATAGGAGTGAATAGGGGTTGAGGAACTTTTTTTCTTAAAATGAATAAAATGTGATTTTTTTAAGAAAAACAAAGATAAATAACCAGTATAGGGGTTGTGGAGATTATTAAGTTTTTGATTGAGATCATGAACCGATTGGTGTTAGACTACCGTTGGAAACCTGGAAGCATTGTACAGCCGTTTTGCCTTATTGTGGGACTCCTCAGCAGTGCGTATACACGATCCTGCCCGTGGGATTTGAACCCAGGTCCTTCAGTCTCGTGCGCGAACGCTTAACCTACTGGACCACTGAGCTGGCATTCAATGGTGTTAATGTCTAACCTCAAGATAAATAAATTGTTCTTCATACTAATAACAAAACTGGTAATAGTTACCTATGAAATCTTGAATATAAGCTTTCTTCTATCTCGAATTTCTTTATTTTGAACTTAAGTATTATCTCAACCATATCTTATGCATTCAAAGTTTATTAGGTGGCTTTTTTACTATGACTTGGAGCTTCGTTTTTTTTTATAATTTTGTACAGTACCGAAACTACGACTTCAAATTTGACATTCATTAGTTGAGTTAATGCTTAACAATCAATCAAATTTCATTTCGAATGTATTAACTAACATTTATCTTCATTCTTGGTTATGATCTACTAAAACTATGAGATTTAAAATGAATTAAATAAGACTTGAAAATATTGAGAATCCCTGTTATGTTTTACTTTAAATAAGGTTTACATAAAATAAACTAAAATTTATATAAAAATTAAAACTTGAACGTTTAATTATTTTCAGAAAGAGGTTTTGTGGATATTGTAGTAATTTAATAGTTGAATTCCTAATTCAATTGAAGCTAGACCACCATGGAAAACCTGAAAACACTAGAAGGCCGTTTTGTCTTAGCATGAAACTGGATGGATCTTGGATATGCACTGCTGAGAAGTTTCACACTAGAACGAAATAGCCATCCAGTTCTTCCAAGTTTTCCATCATGATCTAGTTTCAATTAACTCATGAACTTAACTATTAAATTTAATTGTTTTCTTCACATGAACACTGACAGATTTCTTACAGTTCATCAATTTTTGATAGGCACTGTTTGTTTTTCATATATCAACTCATGTCAATTTCTAATGAGAACTTTTTCCAAGTTAAAGATGACTTTACAAATCATTTGAATTATTGATAGTTTTCACATTATTTACTCTCTCTCTCTCTCACTTTCTCTATCTATTCTTATCATGAATAATTGTTTTCATCAACAGGTTCTTTTTGTATTTTCTAATGAATATGTAAATTATTTTCACTTTTATTCTAATCTCTACAGTTTACAAAAAGGAAAAGAAGAATCTTTCAAGATAGAAGAGAATTTTTCAATTTTTTTCTCTTAAATGTAGTTAATACAATCAATTTCATGAATTGATTTTATAATCATGATTGAAGAATGATGAAAATTATTGACAAAACGCCCTAAATAAATGAGTATTAAAAGATAGAACAAGTGGTTAATAACAACAATTGTTTGATATTAACAAAATCACATAGTTATATATAAAAGTAACGAACATTATTTAAGTATCGAATGATTTGAAAATTTAGGTTTTCTAGGTCACTTAGCAGTGCATAAAATTATGACCTAACAACATGGCTTACTTACTGCCAACCAATTTAGACCATTTGTTTAAAATGACATTTAAACACTCTTAATTTATTTCAATGAATTAATTATATATGATGATAATCAGACATTATCAATCGTTTCTTCAATCAGTGGAGTCAAGATCCATGAAGAGAAAAACACCAATATCAAGCCTAAGTTAAGGATTTCCTCTCAATTGATTTCAACCACATAACATTAAAACATAGGCCATCCGACGTCTAGTCAATTATAATAGTGACTATATTGTAACCCGTTCGATAAAATTCGGTCAGCACCAAGGACCCAACAAAAATGAAATCATTCATTATTCAGTGATCAATCATTGTTGAAAATAATACAATACTGAAGTATTAAAAACTGATCATTTGGTGATAACTAGTGTTGTGTTAGTTCCGAGCTATTGTTTGTTTAATTCTATAATCCATCTTTACAAAGAAACTAATGAACAGAATGATTTGAAATGGCGATACATTTTGATTACTGGTACATTAGTTTAAAGTGGTTTTCAACTATTTAGTGACGTCAACAAAGATGTCTTTATTTAAACAGTCAAATAACGTACTGAATATTTAACTGGTTGATAAACAGTGATTCATTATAACTTAGATAATAAAGCATCTACATTTTGAAATGGATATGAAGTAAATTGATTAAAACTTAATGTTTTGTTTGGATATCATGCAAATGATGATTTATTGCGTTAGAAGAAGAAAGAAAGACGTATTTAACTAATATAATTTCGACTAGAGCCATCCGCTAATGACTATTACGATCATATCCATCGTATCCAACATACTAGATGCAAAAAACAAAATTATTAAAAGCTAGGGTTTATAATGATATCTTAATTGAAAACTGAACTTTAATATACAGCAATGAAGACAAATAGTGTAGCACCAGCCTTTTTAGCAGAATTTTTCAACATACACAAGGGAAAAAGCAAGATCCTTAAATACAACACGGAGAACAACAACCTGACCACACTCGATGGAGAAACTCTGGAACAGGTGGAAAATTTCACGTACCTGGAAAGCATCATCGATGAACGTGGAGGATTTGATGCGGATGTTAATGCAAGAATTGTCAAAGTGAGCGAAGTATTCCTACAATTGAACAAAATGGAAATCAAAACAACTGTCTGCAAGACAACATCAAAGTCAGAATATTCAATATGAACATCAAAACCGTTTGTTCTATTGTACACAGCTGCAACTTGGAGAACTAACACAATCATCATCAAAAACGTACAAGTATTTATGAACAATTTTCTACTCAAGATAATCAATGTCCGTTGAACGGATACCATCAGCAAGAGTCTATTGTGGGAGAGAACAAACCAACTTCCAGATGAGGAGGAAATTAGGAAAAGACGTTGGATGTGGATAGGACATCGATTACGAAAATCACCAAGTTACATCACAAGGCAAGCGCTAACTTGGAATCCTGAAGTAAATTGGAGAAGAGGAAGGCCGAAGAACACACTGCATCGGGAATCGGAAGCAGATATTAAAAGATGAATAGTAACTAGCAGTAACTGGAAAGGATTACCCAAAACAGAGTTGTATGGAGAATGCTAGTGGGTTGTCCATACTCTTCCATGAGGGGTTACAATCGTAAGTAATTAATATACAACAACCATTTACGATATGGAAAATGACTAAATGTTGTTTGTTTCACTCAGCTACTGAATCTTCAAACGTTGCAGATAATGCGAATCAGTTCCTAAAAATAAAGCTCTATCTCGAGACATTCACCACATAGCAACTGGGTAACATTAACTTGTCGCTGATTTAAAACTTGCATTATATTTTCTAGCCCTTAGATCTAATCGAATTCTACTAGTAAGGTAGTCATTTGACCACACGTTGAAATGACTTGACATTGTGGTCGAGGTTGCTTGACGTTAGTGCATCGGTCATAAACATCAAGAATCCAGCCGTGTGTCTTCAGCTATGAGTGCTCTGACTCTTTCAATGGGTTGTAAACATATGTTACAGCACCGAGCTACTTGAATGATAGTTGTTTGGTTGCTTAAAGATTTATTGGTTTACTAGTTTACTGTATTACAGTCTTGGGTTTTAATTGGACATATGAGTTTTCGTTTTAAAAATTTCGCGTTGATTTGTAGTGAAACTCCAATTTTTCATCTGTATGTTCTAGTAATAATATTCATTTTACTAACCTTTTTCTACTCCCTTAATTTTATCAATCATTCAACCTATACTAGGAATGTTTCATCTGTCAATTCAAGAACGAATATTCTATGTATTTTACTACAAATTCCCGAATAATAATAATTTTCCTATACTTTTATACATATAATTTTTATTTCCATTATTTTCAGTTGTGCTACTGGTGAATCATGGCAAGAAATAATGCTTGCTTGTACCTATGGACAAGAATGTGTTAATCGTGCATCAAACAATTGTGGAAGCAATGCATCTTATACTTATTTTGTATCATTTAATTTCTTTTGCTCGTTTCTTATGCTCAATTTATTTGTTGCTGTAATTATGGATAATTTTGATTATTTAACAAGAGATTCATCTATACTGGGGTCACATCATTTAGATGAATTCATACGTGTATGGGCTGAATATGATCCAGGTGCAAAGTAAGTCTTATGAAAAATGGAGTTTGATAAACACCAAAATATTATAGCTCTGAATCCATATATATCTAGCTTTCTTCAATAAATGTCTCAAAATAACACTCATGAAAGCATCTTAAATATCACATTAGAAAAATTAAACGTTTCGCTATCCAACATAACTTGTGATAAGTATTGATTCTTAAGCCATTTTTCACCACAGATGAATATCGATTTACGAAATATTAAGAGCGAAGAGGCATTGAAGATATTTCTCTCTTGCTCGGTACTCAATAGCTATCTTCACTTTACATAGAATAGAACTTGAGGCATTCATGTCACACGAAAATAAAGATATCTCAAGATATTAAACCCGTTAACGAAGTGAGAATCGTACCATCACTAATGACTAGTTGTTCAATGGATAACCCAAATTACTTGTTAGAAAATCTGGTCATCATTGTCATCCATGTTTATGATACAACATGTTTCCCTGATATTGCTACAACATACACCAACAGAAGTTGAATCTGCAAAACAGTCAATTTCAATGCTATAGTCTGAAATGAGTCACAACCTCGCTTTCTAGCTTAGTTATCTCTTCAAATAAATCTAAATCTGTTTATGTGTGTTGACTGGTTTTCTGTCATTTTGTCTTATAATGTAGCTTGTTTACCAAGTACAAGCTAGTGTATTCAACTTTGCCTCACAATATCTTTATGGATTTCATTAGTATTAGCCAGCTGCTTAAAAAGGACATGCACGAAATAGAAATTCGGACGTTCCACCTATTGATTAAAAGTCAATTATCCTAATCTCTGACAAAATTACTTCAACGACAATAAATTATATAACTGACTTTAGAAGAAGTGGTGGATAATACCTATTAGTGGAATCCAGGTCATGAAATTCATTCAGTTTGTGACTGGTCAGCTAGATTTACCTGCATCCCAGAGTTGGCGTTCACTTTAGTACTCGAATACAGAACCGTTAGCTTCAAACTCCATCGCATTATCCCCTTAGCTGCTAATTCCAGATAGCCTCTAGTTTGTGCAACGGGGCAAAGTTTAATTCATTTTCGTATTGATTGTTTGAATCTTCTCAGCTGATCAGTCTCATATTGGTATTCCTGTATTTTTTGTGGATTGCCTCGATATTGCATTATTGCAGCCCTAAACGCCAATGGGAAAATCCAAATAACCAATACAAAAATGAATATAACTGACAGTATAGAATTTAAATTACCATACCTTGAAAAATACAAGTGGTGAATCGTACTACATACATAATGTAATGTATCGTATATCTTCTCTCATAAAAAGAAACTATCCCAAGTAGCAAGCAAATGTTTGGCGGCATTATCGAAAACACACGCCTTCAACATGTCATATTACAGCTTATAAAAACAGAAAAACGTTTAACTTCTCTATTGTTTTCCAACATTTATGCATTTAGTTTTCTAAAAAAATAAGCTCCTAATAATATTGGTATTTAAATACTACTCTAAATATGCTTCCCTCTTCTCTTTATAAACTAAATAAATATGAAAGATCATTCTGTTTCATTGAATTTTACCGCTACTTACACGTACGCACATATAGACAGACATGCAAAATCTAATTGCTATTTCAACTTAATTAGAATAATAAATTAGATGTAATATATTAGTCACTTACTATAAGTAGTATGCTTATTTTCACGATTTTTTTTATTTGGCCGAATAAAATAAACTCAGAAATATTTGTATCATTCGAAATTTCCGAAGTTTTTTTCCCAAACAAAAAATTTATTGATATAATCTCATATACAATGACAATATGTTAATAAACATGTATGCACAAAGCTTTAATCACTCCATATTTTATATACAAATAATTTCAATAATTGAGATCATGAATCAATTGAAACTAGACAACCATAGAAAACCTGAAAGCATTGGATGGCTGTTTCATCCTATTGTGGAGCTCCTCAGCAGTGCACATCCACAAACCCGCCTCACGGGATTTTAACCCAGGACCCATCAGTCTCGCCCTCGAGCGCTTAAACACCAGACCACTGAGCCGATATCCAACGATGTTAATGTCTAACTTCAGCCAATCCACGAAATTGAGCGACACATCTACTATTGTCATCAGTGAGTTACTATCTCACAACTCAACTGGTCACTGTTTCCCACTAGAACTCCAGGATATACACCTTGAAGCCAGTCACCAGTGAGCATATGTTAATTAGTATCAGAAGGGATTGTCGAAGAAATAAAAGGACAAGATACAAAGCGAGCATTCTATAATGTTCCAGCTAAGTGAATTGTCGATGTAGGAGTTCACCCGGGTCTGTATCCAAACAAAATGGCAATAAATATTATTGAAATTTATTGATTCAACAATTGAGTGAACCAGTGGTGCCAAGCCGACATTGTGTATATGTGAACATTATTAGAGAATACAACTCGCTATCGAATTCTATCGATCAAGTTGATATATGTCAACTAGTTTGAGTGACAAATGCAACACATGTTACCTTAATAATTATAATTTTCTCACTAATGGCCATATTTAAGACAGACTCTTAAAGTTAAAGTGAATAGTAAGCGTTAGAGTTCTGAAATCAGAAGTTCAACAGTTGCTGACTGATATTAGTAGATAGTCTTCACACTACACAACAAAACACAATAATCTAGATGTATCGTAATTATCACAAATTTAGATCATACGATCCGATAATGTGTGGACCATTAAAGAGTCTCAAATGAGAAGAACCAATTCTACATTTCCCTTTGTTTTATTTTCTTAAATATTATCCACTTGATATCAGTCTGTAATAAAAACTAATTTCATAATTACTACATCAACATATTTTGTTGATTTTTAAGCATCCATTATTTCTGTAATCAATTTTATTTACAGTATAATAATCCAATTCCTCATTAGTTCACATTCAAGTGACCTTCATTTTCAATTTAAGTTTAATAATTGTCATTGTTGCATTAAACTACTTTATTATCATCATCATCACTACTTTTATCATTAACAACTAAGTTAACTTTTTTTACTTGAAAGTATTCTTTACTATCATTAATTACAATCAGTAATACACAATATAACAACGCTTATTACCTACAAGGTTGAATATGATTATTTAATTTCCATATTCTGATTCTATTGTTCCAATAATTTATGATTATTATCATTGGCAATCATTGTTTAAACTTTCCTTTTGCTTTACTATTGTAATTTAAAATGTAATGATGCATAAAACAGAACTCACACTGATACAGTTATTAACAATTACTATTGATAACGGTAATGATGTCCATATGTCCATATTTTTTAAATGGATGTCGTTGTGGAATTATTAGTGAACTTTAAAAACAATTTTCAATATGAATTAACACATGCTGGAAAACTGTTGAAAACCAAGGTTTAGAAACCATTATGGAACACTTCTGAAATGATTAATCTGATTTTTAATTGTTATCATGTCCCCTTTAAATGAACATACTTTAGGGTAGGTTAACAAAATGGGCATAGAATGCTTTTAAATTAAGTAGTTCGTTCGTTACATCAAGCTTACATGTTTATACATATTTTGATTGAGACGAGAATAATTAAATTCTGTCACATGAATTTAGGTAAACACCGTGAAACTATGAAAACCATGATTTTTGTAGGTTAAATCATGTCAGTAAGGCATATCTGTAATCTTGAGAAACCCATGCTCTTCCAGAATTTCGGACTCTACAAACAGCCACATAAATGCTGTACCGTTTAGATAGTAATCTATCTATACTAAAAAACTCAGATGCTGGCATTATTCACAATTATTGAGTAGTAATTAATGTCATGTTATCGATCCACACATACTTACTTACTTAAGCCTGGTATCCCTCGTGGAGGAGCATATGCTGCGCACCAGCATTCTCCATACAACTCAGTCTTCAGTAATCGTCTCTAGTTGTTTCTAGTTACTATTCATCCTTTTCATATCTGCTTCCGATTCCCGATGCAGTGTGTTCTTCGGCCTACCACTTCTCCATTTTACTTCAGGATTCCAAGTTAGCGCTTGCTTCGTGATGTAACTTGGTGATTTTCGTAATCGATGTCCTATCCACATCCAACGTCTTTTCCTAATTTCCTCCTCATCTGGAAGTTGGTTTGTCCTCTCCCACAATAGACTCTTGCTGATGGCATCCGTCCAATGGACATTGATTATCTTGAGTAGAAAATTGTTTATAATTACTTGTACGTTTTTGATGATGATTGTGTTAGTTCTCCAAGTTGCAGCTGTGTACAATAGAACAAACGGTTTTGATGTTCATATTGAATATTCTGACTTTGATGTTGTCTTGCAGACAGTTGTTTTGAGTTCTATATGATTCCAAAGTGTCCATTTTATTCTGTGCTTCCCCTCCGATGACGAGATCTTCATAATCCAGTCAACCACCGGAAGAAAAAGTAAGGAGGAGAGTAAGCAATGTCGTCTGACTCCGGTCCTCACTTGAAATGCGTCTTTCATCTCTCCTCCATGCACCACTTTGCACTGTAGTACGTCATAGTTCACCACATACACCAATTATTACTCAATGAACAATTATGGTGAACATGTAGTTTTATATTAAAACAAATGATGAGATTACAATAAACAAGAACTAAATAAATGAAGTTTTAACAGATATCTAATATTTCATTATCCTATCAATAATTGCAGTTCAACATAGGAAAATGTGACATAAATGGTTTATTAAATTGTCAATATTTAGTATTCATGTTTTTTCCCAGCATCTCAACTATCAATTTGATTTTAAACATAGAACATTCTTTTCAATAAATAGTCATCAGTTTCTACGGTGATAAACCCAAAATTATGTTCTTAAAGTGATAATCAAGTTTAAGGTAAATACATCTATAAAAACTACATCATATGAATTTAAATTTGAAAGTATGATAAAATAAGTTTACTAAGATTGAAATGTCTAATATACCTTATTGACTTATTACTTAAAATGTGAATTATTCTTTTATCATGTATATATGAACTTGAAAATGGCTAATTTATTGATTGAGATCATGAAACGATTGATGTTCGACCACCACTGAAAACCCGAATGCACTGGACGGCCATTTCGTCCTATTGTGGGGCTCTTCAGCAGTGCGTAACCACGATCCCGCTAGCAGGATTCAAGCCCATGGCCTTCAGTCTCATCTGCGAACGCTTAACCTCTAGACCACTGAGCTGGTATTCAACGATATTAATATTAAACCTTCACCATTAATTGATAAATTAGACTCTGTTGATAAACGATGGGAAGAGATTTGTATACATGTCACTTTCATGAATTATAAAAAAGAAAATTTCTTATAGATTTATCTTTGAAAAGGTAATAAATAATTATGGTTGCATCTTATTTCTGTAAATAAATCATAATTCAATTCGAAATAATCATCTTCTTTTAATTCACCCTCTTTTTTCGGATAACATGTGAACTAAAGAAATTCACTTCTCTTTTTTATACTGTAATAATTGTCATGTGATAATTGTCTGAAGTTTTTGTGTAACCATTTTATTCTTTAGAAGAAAATGTAACGCATGATTTCTAACGATTATCATTTCTAACTGATAACACAAACATATTGACTAATTGACGAGAAACATCAATTAGTTTATAACATATGAGAAAGCATTAAATAGATATTTAGTTCTAGTCTATGCACATATAAGTTTTCTGCACAAGATCAATCTCAGAATCTTCTAGTTCTATTTTGTCAAGAGTATCATAGATAACAGATTTAAAAGTCTTGAGTCTTGATCCAAAGGTGTTGAAGGTGTTAAACACTTTCAATTTTTCTATTGTTCACTAAATAATATTATTCCAAAATGAAGATTAGCAGACATTATACAAACAAAAACAACGATATTAATTTCCGGTTACCCTTTTATGATTCCTTACTGTTCTATCCGTAAGTATATCCTCTTAAATTAGAGAAAACAATCTTTATATCATAACAAGAAAAATCATTTACTTCCAGCTTTTACATTACATATCACTAGTACAAATGAAATTAATAAATTATTTGTAGTTTATCTCATATCTTTATATGATTTAGATTTTTTTTTACCATAATTTAAGTATTTTTACAACCTAATTATTCTTAATCTAAGATAATAACTAGGAACATTATACAATACTCATGTTTTATTTAATATTAAACATGGTATGTAGTAACAAATTGTGTTACAGTTGGGCAGTCAAACACACCTGCTTTGGTTTGGGCACCCGGGCAGTATCACAGCCTTCACACATATCAAATGAGATCTGTGTGGCGCATATGTGTTTGGTGCCTCCTTGTACCAATATCTGTGTGTTAAAATAAATAAAATCAAACATACGACTACTTTCTTCATACAGCTGTTTTTCTATAGGAAAAAAAACGACTTATCACTCGATCATTTATCGAATGATTGTAAGTAAATAAATAAATTTTAAATGATCTTTATTTTACCAAAACCATTTTGAAAAGATTTTTAACACAATTTCAAACTTATTACTATGTTAGATAAAAAAGTAATATATGAAACTATTTTGTTTTTTTTTCAAAATAAACTTATATATTACACAGGGGAAGAATACATTACACAGAAATGTATGAAATGCTAAGAAAATTAGAACCTCCAGTCGGATTTGGTCAGAATTGTCCATACAGATTAGCGTATAAGGTAAGTTGAAACTTCAGTTATTTTAAAAGTAAATATTAATAACCGAATTAGAAATCGAGTCATCTTTACTTGATACTGCTCGACATAACACTCATATTAGCCACTTCAGGTCTTTTAATGAACAATACACTACTGAGCATTTGAACGAAAATCTATTGATTCCCATTTTTAACTCATCAGATATCCACTATAAATCGCTGACTCATTTTCATTTTGGTTGATTCTGTATAAGGTCTTGAGCAAGTATTGAGTGTTCAGTGTTTCTTCAAGTATTATCAGTTCATAATAAAGATTTGTTTTCAGTTAGATATTTGTTGTGACAAGATAGAAATTATATTAGAACAGCTTTCCTTGTTTCTCCAGTTAGAAACTAACTTCTCTACAAATCTTCAGTCATCATATAAGAATTCCTTCATAAATATAGAGTTCATATTCCCTATGCTTTTTATACATTGGACAGAAATTTTGTGATTATCTATCTGTTTTAAAGTCATAATAATAATATAAAATAGTGTTATCCCTTTTTCTAAAAAAAGAGAAGCTCATCTAACTAAAAGTTATTCTATCAAAGAAATAAACCTCATTAGTGTTAACAAGAAGTGTTTTGTTTGTGCAGTGAATAATCATATATTTATTCAGATTATGGTATTTACTTATCCTATTACTATTATGTTGAGCAGGTAATATTATGTATAAAAAGGATGTTTTGGTTCAATAAAGAAGTACTTTTCATAGAGCTATGTACTAACTAATGGGTGAAACTACTTAGACTTATGAGTTCAGGACGCTTAATTTAACCGTATGAAAATTGTAATAAATAAGTAAAACGATTTCCAGTACAAACTAACTTTATCAAAAGATTTATTGAGAACATTATACAGTGGTTAATTTAGCAGTGTTAACTTTGTAGCGGATTACACCCAAGATTTTCAAGTCTTGTTAGGACACCACCACAATGTTATAAATAATCTCGATTAGTACAATCAAACATGTAATGAGTAAGACAGTTAACATAAGCTGAAGTGATCACTAAATAAATGTTTTAGTTTCACATCAGGGACTGAACTTGGTCGTATAACCGTTTAAAACAAAAGAGCTCTGGACAGCTATTTCATCCTTTTAGCGAACTTCTTAACACAGAATGTTTACGACCTCCCAGAGATCGAACCCACTCTCTATGGTAGGTGCTTGACAATCAGACCACTGAGTTGGTATTCAGTGGTTTACATCTTTAACTTTAGTTAGTAAATATGATAAGCAACCTTCTTAAACATATGAATTATCAATGCAGTAATTTGTTGAATCTCTATCTTTATTAAGAAAATTCTTTGGTAAAGGTGAAGATCGATAGATAGTCTGTTAAAAAGTGAATCATCATAATAGTATGCGTTTTGTTGGTTGTAACGTGTTATGTTCACGTTTAAGTATATGCAGATTTAAAACTCTTAATGATCCAAACAATTTCTTCGACATTAATTCATTTTGATGTTAATAATATATATTCACTTTATAGATAGACTTTCTAACGTGATTCATAAATATTTATGCAACAAGACTCTGGAACAAAATTTTGAAAATATGATCAAACTGAACTAATTCTTATATATATATTACTAATAATTTTTATTTTATTTGTACAGAAACTAATTCGTATGAATATGCCATTAGATAGTGCAGGAACTGTACATTTCACAACAACACTATTTGCTTTAGTTCGAGAATCATTAGGTATTAAAATGGCTCCAGCTGAATTTATGGATATTAAAGATGCTGAATTACGTGAAACCATTAAAACATTGTGGCCGGTACAAGCGAAACGATCATTAGACTTATTGTTACCACCAGATTCAGGTAAATTAAAATTATTATAAATAATTGGGTTATGTGAGTAAACCGCGTGTTTTTCACCAAATATTTATGTTTACCACTCTGTCCAGCAAAAATGTGAATTAATGTAGTAAAACCTTTATCATACAAAATTTAGAGTAATTCGATAACTTCACTAGATAACTCTCTCTAACCATCGAACTTAGATCCTTGTGACTTCTTGTTATCCTCATAGTCAAAATGGTCCTGAGGCGGTAGCACGGGATTCATACAAAGATAATAAAGCCAATGAAAAGTCTGACTTCTAAGAATATTCAGGAGTGTTTTAAACAACGGGAAAGATGTGATAAGTCTGCTATTACGTATATGAAGTATATTCAATGGGATAAAAGATCAGCATACATGTAAACTGATTATCATCCAATAAAATGATCCTAGTATAATAAATATATAAAACAGAAAATCCACTTCGTCAGAAAGACTAATCCGAATTAGTTTCATGAAACCTTAATCCATGTAAGGATTTACAAAACATAATGTCAACGACAATTATCAAAGTAACTTAGATATATCTCAACTAATAAAAATTTTATAAAGTTGGCATACTAAGTTGTTACGATCCCAGATAGACCGCTGATGAATGAAGGAAACTTTTCCACCTTTAAGCTGGATAATATTATTAAACATTATACGCATGGACTCTCACTTTTGTTTGTACTATCAACAATTCATTTTTTCTCTTTGATACAAAATGCACACTGTATTATTACAACTCGATGCAAAAATGAAAACAAAGATATCGGGTCAAGATTTGTGGAATGGAGTATATGTGAATCTTGTCCTAACTTTTGTCCAATCATTTACGAAATAGTACTGCCAAAAACACTACTTTAGAGAGCAATAAAGATTTTTACAGTCGATAGGCTAGTAGAAATAATAAACGGTAGAAAAAGATCCTCAAGATAAGTGTAAAAAACTGAAAATAAAAAAGCTCAGAGAAAGTACAGTAAGGAAGGAATCATTTTTTACTGAATTATTTTGACTCCATCATCTTTCATTTTTTCTTATTTTTAACTGATTGACGCCTACTCACGTTAGATTTAATAATCATTAACCTGTCTTCATCTATTTATTGCATAATCAATCAGTTCTTAGCTCTACAATCTGTGTTACTAATTTGGTATTCTATAATCTTTTGTATGTAATGTTGATTTGAGACATCACAGTCTTACTAAATTTGTTTGAATCTTTGATCTATCATAATAATATATAGTCAATTCTAATAAACTTCAGTTGTTAAGTTCAATGTGCAACTCTAATTTTAAAATATTATAGGTTTTCAGAAGCTAATGAAAACCCAACTAAATAAAATGAACTCTTATTATTCTAGTCAAAACTTTGTCGATGCTCGCTTCAATATAGATTAATTTGGGATTTATTAGTAATTACATGTGAATGATTATATCTTAGTCTTATGATATGATTAACATTGTGAGAATACAAAAACGTGTCATGCTGAATTAATCCGTAACATTGTGGAAAGTCAGTTATTAAATTATGATAATACCAACTTCCGAGCTAACAAAAATAATTGGTTTACTACATTACAAGATTTATCCTATCTTGACAAAAGTTCACCAAGTTTCTTGTTACCTATGTGGTTGCACCACAGTATTATACTGTACTGCTCAAGTCGTGTAAATGCCCGGAAAGCGTCTTGTTTTCTTGAAAATCAATATAAAACTGCCATCTTGCAAGGTACATCTATAATTGTGTGAACTGTGACAAAAACATTTTCCAAGACAAACAACTTAGGACATTCTACGAATTAAATAAAATTCCGCAGAACTTTCATAACGAAACCATAATTTTGAAATCAATAGTGACTTCGATATCAGTTTTTATAGTACTAGTAAACAGTCACGGTCGATAGAGTTGAAATGTGTCGAAAGTGAAATATTTGTCACCGACAGATCCTGGCTTGTTGTCGAGCTTTATCATGGAAATGAAACGAAATATTGATTTCTACATGTTTGTAAATATACCATTTAATCGATTACTAATAAGCACACGACTCTTGGTTGATACAAAATGTAATATGTACAACTATTTGGTCTGGTAGTCATATCATAAAATCTCTATCATTAAGGGAGAATAAAAACAAAACTATATACACATTGAAGAACAATATAAATAGTTATAAATTTTGTGTAATATTTTTTGTTTATTTCATTAAAGAATATACATTTACCCGTCTTACTGTTGGGAAAATCTATGCTGGATTATTGATTTATGAAAATTGGCAAATGAATAAATCCACTGGCAATAAAAAGAATTTACATCAATTGAATACTGTAAGGTTTTATTTACTAATTTATACCACTTACTATTCTTTAATCTACTATAAAATATTAATGAAATTAGAAAAGTGATATAAGACATTTTATTTTTAATAGTCAAACTCTATTAGTTTTATTTCGAATTGATATTGAATGGTTGTAGGCGGTCGGTAAGAGAATTTGTTCTTAAATTTCTTACTAGTTGATACGTTTTAGCAATCTTGGAAGGAATGATACTATTCACAAGGACAGACGTTATCTAACGCATTGACCAGAGATATTTACAATTGAGCAAAGTGAACTGTAATCGACCTTCTATAGAAATGATGTTAATATGAGTCGTTAGGCGTTAAGTAAATTAATATGGTGGCCACAGTTTAAACATGACCGATAAAATTCGATCAGCTATTAAGCTTAAACAAAATGACATTGCTTGCTACTCAAAGATCGATTAGTAATAATTGTTTATATATAATTAGATTATAAGGGTTTGTTTGTTTCCAGCATTAACGGGCATCAGCTTGAGAATCATCACAAAACAATACCACGAGCAACTGTATCAGCAGTGATACAGTTTAGTTCGTTGTTTTATTTTCATTAATTGATAAAATAATAAGTCGATATCAGTCCATTCTGATATTTCAAGTTAACTATTACCGTCTTGAATAGCTTATTCTTGTTCAAATCTGTGTCACTCCTTTTTTGAAGTATTCTATTTATTTAGAATCAAAAACCTGTTTTATATAGAATAAACTGACCTACTAAAATCATAAATATTTATCCACTCTTTCAGAGTTCCGTATATCTGTGAATGTTTTAAGATTTGGCACGAATTAAAACAATACTTTATGTCGTGTACTTGTGACTTTGATAAACTGAGCATCTCAACAAAATATATCTCATGAAATGTTTAGTAATCACATACAACCGTTATTAACCTTGAAAGGAACTAGTTAGGTACATTAGAATTAAGATGTAAAAACGGTAACTAAAACAATACACATTTTTGCCATGTACATAAACTGTTCAATAAACTTTAATCAATAAGATATATCATGTATAATTATTCATGAACAAGCCTTGAAAAAAATCCACCATATACGCTAACCAACAAAAAACCAGTAAGGCCTTCGAAGCCATTTAATGCATATAATAATGATCGTATCGATTACTCTGAAATAGCGTAGATTAACTCGTTATTGATATTTTGACTGAAATTCGATCAATCTGGGTATAGCATGCGAACATCCTGTGAGGATTGCCTTGATATACCCATAATGGCACAAGTTAATATGAAATAAATGAAATCTGATTAGCACTGAATTCAGGAGCGCTTTTTACACCATCTGAGGGTCAAAGTGAAGATCAACTTTGGGATCCAGGTAGATCTAGCTGACGAGTCCCAAACAGGACGAAAGGCTAATCCCGGATTTCAGTCCCAGACACATTCCATCTTTTCTATATAGAAGCACAGGGAAAGAAGCCAATAAACTAATAACTAGGTTGTCCCATATGGCTGAATGAAAATATTTACTTTTCAAATTAGAATGTGTTTAGAATCATGAAAACTACACAATTGTCCGATTCTACTTAAACAGAATATTCTATAACTATATCTGTTTTTTTACTATATGTACTTAACGAACGAATTGATATTTTCATTTCAGAAACCTATACTTGAAGCATGCTTAACTCAAATGTTAGGACATGAGTAAGTTCAACTTGATATATCCCTTTTTTGTAACATATATTTTTAAAAGTAAAAATGTGTAAAGACTGCTCAATCCAAAGATGGATTGAACTACGAACTGAGGAATTTCATATTATAACGAAACACGTAACTAGTGACTCATAGTTTTAATAGTGCTGTACTTGCATTCAGTCTGAAATCCAAACTAATTTTAACATAAACTTAAACAGAGAATTTTATTCTTGTACACGCCTAATGAATTACGCTTTCATACTCAAAACGATGATGGATGACATGGCTTAGTTTTCATCCCTTTTTCGTTTGTTTTATCATGTCGTTTTACTTACTATTTTATTTCTCAATAACTGTGTTATGGGTGTGACATTTTCATGCTGATTATAATTTTTATCAACTGAAAAAAAAACAGAATTATCATAAAAGTAACAATCGGAGAGTAAAATACCATAAAAAGTATCATTTACCCACTGTGCCAAACCAATAACGTGTAGACTGGTACGAGAAGCCTAAAGTCTTCATTGGTCCTTCTCGCCTAGCCCTGACTGTTGATTCCAGAACACCAATATTAGCTTCCACTATATGAATAATATATTTCAAACATACTTGTTATAAATACAAACAAGCCAGACTACATTACACCATGATATAGAAAATAACAATTATACAATATCAAACACAAAAGTGGCTGTGATTGTGAGAGACTGTAACTAACAAATTGGGAATAACTTAAGAATATTACATCATATAATACTAGCCAATAGGTCAAATAAAAGCTTATGATATAAGAGAATATATATATATATATATATATATATATATATATATATATATATATATATATATATATATATATAATCTAGTTAATTAATACTTATACAATAAGAATATATGTATATTTGTCCATAATTCGATCTTCTCCGGATACAACACAAAGAATATTAACGAAACGGCCGTCCAGTGCTTCCAGGTTTTCCATGGTAGTCTAGCTTCAATTACCTCATGATCTCAACTACTGAAATTACTACTATCTCCACAAAGCTCCTTCTGATTTTTGAATGTGTTGTATGTTTTATTTATACTACATTAGGAAACAAGCGGAAATTGATTCATTAAAAATTAATATGTATTTAACATTGTATTTGTGAATAACTTCCATAAACAGTTAATTTAATTAATACTTTTCTCATTTTCAATGAAATTATCGTTATCTATTGTTAAAACACAGTAAATGATAATAGTCAACTATCAAAGTGAGAGTTAACTTGAAGAATGATGATGATAATTCTTTTGAAATATCGACAAAAACTTGGAAGTTATTATTTCTCCACTGCTGATAAGCCATAATTAATTATTAAAAATAATGATTTTCTATTATAGATTGAGACTAAATGGAAAGACTAATGAAAATTAAAAATAACTAAACAATTATGTCATCTTAAGGATATTTTACAGAACTGTATATCTCAGGGTTTTGGCATGTTATAGAATCCTTTGTATTCAAGCTTCATCATAAACTCAAAACTTTCAGAACAAACGACTTAAAGCACAATTGTTTATGTTCTCAACTCATATCACTTTTTATAAGATAAATATATCAAATGTTATATGTTATATGTGAGATCATAGATTGAAAATGCTCAAGTATCAATACCAGAACAAAAACGGTTGGCCACCAATACATGATAGTTCTAATGATTCTCCGACTGACATCTGCTTGTGATTAAAATTCACTTTAAAAATAAAAGTTTCAGAGCTCATCCAACTAAAACTGTGTTCGTAAAATAACACTATATTGTAAAAGATTATGCACCGTATTAACAGTTTTTACATTTAACACAATTTAATTCTAATAAACTGATATTTTAAATTATTTATCATTATTTTTATTGCCAGTCCATTTCATCTTGCAAATCGTCTACCAAACTGTAGTAAAGAACATTCACGTTATGGTAGTAAAGTGGATCTTAGATCCATTAATAATATGGAAATAGATCATGTAAGTGAAACATTTTTTAGTCATTCTTAAACATAATATTACCGACGAACTTATTTGTTTTTAAATTAACAACCTTTTATAAACTAGGCCAAATAATTTTTGATCACAATACATACTAACGTGATTGGTACTCAATAATATCTGTGAATAGTTAAAAGGATCTTGTGGAGAACGGTGTAATTCACAAATTATTATATTCATCACAGACTATTCTCAAATAGTATATCACTGAAAACCCACAGAGTACTGGACAATTACTTCGTCTCTGTACAGGACCCCAAAGTGGTGATCACGCACGACCGCACTGGAAGTGGGTTGATAAATGAGGAAAACTTTAGAACACTCGTATAATAAGTTTGATTAGAACTTGTAATTTACAGATATCTATTGCCTAATTTCCAAGTACACAAACTATCAAAAATAATTTTCTTTCTATTTTTCTTGCAGATTCCTTTAGAAAATAATTACAAAGAGCAAACATTGAAATACAAACAGCACGAAAAAGAACTTGTGGAGAAATTAAATCAAATTAAACAAGAACAGTTAAATAATAATAATAAATATATGAGAGAAATATCGAAAACCACTAGCGAAATGACTAGAACTACTAATACTGTCACTAATGATAATATTAATAATAATACCAGACAAATCTTTCCAATTATTATCACATCACCTGAAGAAGAGAAATATGATAAGAAATCTCCCACTGAACAAGAATATATTCATAAAAATTTAGGTATTATTAATGCAGTTAGTAATAATAATAATGACGACGACGATGATGATGATGATGATGTTGATGATGATGAGAGAGATGATGTACAAAATGTAGATAATTATCTATCACGAAAATCAATTCATTCTTTCTCTACTACAACTAGTACAGATTATACATATTATCCTAATGCACATTCAAATTACAACCAGAAACCACAAAATACATCACAAGATCAATATAACTCTCATATGAATAAAATTAAAGTATACACAAATATGCCAGATGCAGCAATCAATCAACATAATAACGATAATAATTATCATAATCATAAGAATAAAGTTTCTGATGCAAATCAAAGATTAACATTTTATCCTCATCCCCCAGAAACAGATAATCAATATTTAGCACCAAATCATATGTATGATAAACTTTATAAACTCAATGAAGACTTTTCAGGTAAAAGTAGGAGAGAAACAGAAGAAAGAAAAAGGGGAGGATTTTATAGAAAATGTACATACAATACATATCAGCAACGTACAAATCAGGCACATTTAAATTTCGCAGATGCAGTTCATACGTTGGTAAAACAAGCCAATGTTATGGCCAAAAGAAATAGAATCAACAAATACTTACGTAAGAAAGGCTAATTATCATGATAAACCTAACTTTACTACATTATGTATCGATTTTGTAAGCTGTGTTTGCAAACATCGAGAAAAAGACTTTCAGTTGTTTAATGTTCTGGGAATAGTTCAGTAACAGCTTAATAATAAAAAACACTCGGCTCTTACCCAGTAGGTCGGAGATTCGAATCCCACCTATGTTCTCAAGTTTGAGCAACATGGTAGCGCCATTAGTCCTTACAAAATGTGGCTCTAACATAATTAAATAAACCAGTGTTTCATAAAATGAGTTACATAAATTCACTTAATTAATAACTCCTTTGAAATATTATAGCGTCTAGAAGGGGTTAAATGACTTTTCTGACTGGCGTTTTCTAACAAGGTTACATTCTAAGGGATTTAATTGCTAACCCCATGCCAAACCCTTCTTATTTATTCAGTAACTGTAAAAAGGGTATAGGTTTGGTTACGTCCATAATGATGTACTCATGCTATGAAATATATATATATATATATATATATATATATATATATATATATATATATATATATATTATTGAGCTCACAAAGCTGGATGATTTAATTACAGACCATTAGTTGTCATTCTGAATGGCGTCTTCAACCCCTACATTATTTAGTAGAAACTTCAGAATCCTGCATCGAAAAAACTCCAAGAATGCCACAGAATTACTAGATGCATCGCACAAGAAAGTCAGGCTGGTTTCAGACCTAGTCGTTTCTGCATAGACCACATATTTACCATTCATGAAGTTCTAGAACACAGGCATGCTTGTCGGTGTCCGACAGCGATAGTTTTTCTTGACTTGAAAGCAGCATTTGACTGTGTAGACTGAGAGGTTCTGTGGCAGTGTCTGTCATTGAAAGGTGTACAATAGAAGTATACAAACATTGAGTAGGCTCTTTACCCGAACACTACTAGTCGAGTCAGAGCTCATGGCGAACTGTCATCTACTTTTGCAACCTCAAGTGGTGTCCGTCAAGGCTGTCCACTTTCCCCGTTTTTGTTTAACTTCATCATAGATCTACTGATGGAAATAACTTTCTCGTCGACTGAATTCTCGAGTATTGATCTCCATCCAGGAGGTCCACTTATCGACTTAGAATACGCAGATGACATAGTCCTGTTTGGTGAAGACGCTGATGGAATGCAGAGTCTTTTGGTAGCACTAAGCAACAATGCCAGAATGTTTGGAATGCGTTTCTCCCTCTCTAAATGCAAGTTTTTGATTCAGAACTTGCCTGCGTCAACACCTGAACTAAGGATAGGGAGTGAAGCAATCGGACGCGTCGACAACTTCGCTTATCTTGGAAGTCTGATCAGCTCTAATGAGTTAGTGTCTGACGAAATCTCAACACGGATTCAAAAAGCTCGTTCGGCTTTTGCCAACTTACGTCACCTATGGCGAACACGAGATATTTTAGTGGCCCGTGAATCTGACTCCTATTTAGAGCGTACGAATGTTTGCTATCGCTGATTCTCGTATATCATCGTCGACTTAAATCGCGTTATCCAATAACGGAATTAAATACGTCGAGTAACGAGAATTGACTTGAGAATACATATTTTTCGTACATGAAGCGAATGAAGCACAGCAAAGCAATTTTGACACGTATGGAAGATGGCTGGGAAGCCAACTCCATTTTAGTCAAGCGTTACTCAATATTTATAGTCAGACAAAATAAAGCTACAGACATGTGATTAATATGATAAGAAGGGCACACACATATACGCTCATATAAAAACAGTCTAGATTGACAAGCGAATAATTTACAAGGTCAAAGTATGGCTCGAGTAGAATGAATAAAATGGGATGTCCGGAAGCTAGAATAAGGTATGTGGGCTTGGCATAATAACTGACACTACAATATCTTTCTATCAATTAAGGGACGAGTATACTGCTCAGCAGTTCGTTCTGTTCTAATTTACGGCTTCGAAACGTGGCCATTAAGGGTAGAAGATACTCGTAAGCTCCTAGTATTTGACCACAAATGTCTTAGAAATATTACTCGCACCTGCTGGGATCACCGGGTAAGTAATAGTGAGGTTAGACACAGGGTATCAATGAATGATGGTAAACCAATTGATGAGGTTGTAAATCTTCACCAGCTGAGGTGGTTGGGCCACGTGTTATGTATGCATGAACACCGATTACCACGACGCGCAATGCTGACTAGTGTTAGGGATGGCTGGAAGAAAGTTTGGGGCGGCCAAACCAAAAAGTGGCATCGGCCTATAGAGTCACTAACTTCTGGTCTGAGCCATGTTGGTAGATACAGACTACTTGGTTGGGGTCCACGCGACTATCGCAACCAACGGTTGAAGACTCTTGATGACACGGCTCAGAATCGATCACAATGGCGTAGGTGTCTACATTCTTTGTCTTCTCTTAAACCATGAGATCAAAATTACTTTATGCCTTTATTTCTACGAACTAATTCTTTCTCCCTGTATCATATTCTTATATGAAATCTTTCCTTTATATTTTACTACCATTGAAGTAACTGCTTCTATGAATTTGGTGTTCATCTTGTCGTGCTAATGAGGTATGGCAACTTGGACCGACGCATATATGTGCCTGTTAGTACATTGCGGCTGACTGGCTGACGGCACTCAGATCGATTTCCAGTCAACAGACACATTGACATTAAGCCAACCTATGAACCCATGCTTGTAAGGTATAATCGATGTAGTCTGTCAATTTTTAAGTGAGACAGTAAATCACTGATATTAGTGAATGATGATCACATTGTGCAATTCGGGAGTTAACCAATGTTTAAAATGTGAAGTACTGAATTCCATACTCGCCGTGAACTAAGTTTTAGATCCAAAACCATGTGTGATAATCAGCACGCACTACCAAATATGGGCCCAAAAATGAGACATGAAACAGCTATCTAATTCTTTATAGGCCTTTTTAATGATTAGTTAATGCCAGTTCATGGAGAAAAACAATCTTCAAGACACACAAATCAAAAAGCAATCTGGAACACAATATAAATGGAATTCCTATCTACCATATAAATATCTTTCCCACTTTATTTAAGAAGAAATGGTCAATGAGAGTATACTAAGTGATAGATGTATATATGAAGTTGCTTCAATTATTAAATTTCGTTGTACCTAATTTAACAAACTTGATGTTTGAATTTGGCGATTTAAATTTATCTAATTCATCCCATGAATTTTAGACGGTTTTAGTAATAGAATAGATTAATCGTAGTTAGGACACCCAGTTTGTTCTGTTTGGGATTCGTCAGCTGGACGTACTTGCGACAAAGTGTTGATGTTTATACTGGAACTCGAATCCAATATCTTCTGCTTCAGTTCACACGTCAACATCAAGCTGACCGATTCTAATTAGGATGAAATATGCATTTTATATTTCACTTCCAACCACAATTCAAATATTTTAAATCTTATTATAAAATGAATACATAGAAACAATCCGCTCATGCTGTACATATTCTAATCAATGCCGATCAAAATTCAGTCATGAAAGTCGAAAACGGATTAAGATAAGGACTTACTAATAACAGAAAAATTATAGTAGTGTTATAAAAAGTTTAGTTTATTACAAAAGCTGTTTGGTATATGTAAAACTAAAATCAGAGTATTTATTGTTACTTGTGATTTTTTTTTCTAATTTTAGGAAAAAGTGCAAAAGATGTTGACTGGGATACACTTTCATTTCATAGAGTTAATATGAGTCCAAGATCATTTGATCGCAATACACGATATTACGGCAACAGTATATCAAGTCATCATAAACGCAAAAGAGTTTTGTATGATGAAAACCATAATGGCTATAAAAGCTTTTACTTAAATTTGCCAAATAATTACCCATCAGTTTTGTATGACATGCCACAGTGTAGTTCAACAAGAGATGATGAAACAGATGAAAATAATTCATTTAACGAAGGATTTCGTATAATTCATTTAGAACATCATCAAGATAGTCCAACAGTTTATGATGAAGCATATGATCAATCCTATGCAACGCAAATCGAAAGATCTGCATCAATTCATGAAATACGTCAAAAAAGTGAAAATAAGACTAACAATGAATACATTATACAAAAACCCCAAAATGCATTATATCATTCATTACACATGATTCCATGTGAATCCGAAATTAAATCTTATATTCAAAGTGAACAAGATTTAAATCTTGCCATTAGCGATCTGAATCATATCAATCCGTCCAATAGATCAGACCAAATGATCGAAATGAAGGAAAGTGAAATTCAATTTCCTCGTTTACTTAAATCGCCAACAACCAGTGATGATTTTGACTCAATATACTACCCTATGAAACATCACAGAACAGGTTCACTAACTTTTTACTCATGTCCACCACATGAAACCGATTCTCACTGTTCCATGGATCCAAGTGCTAGTGCTTTTGTTAAGCATTCATAATAAAAGTACAATATGTATAAAAAATTTATTATGAAAAATAACTTATTTCATACATTTAGAATAGGAAGGAAGGGCAATAAAAGAAAGTATAAAACGATATATATATGGAGAGTCGTAAACTGACGAGTTTTGTGCTTAGATGATCTCGCCAAGTGTTAGTCATTATGAAAATCATAAGGACACTAAGATTACAAGAAATCATTCTCATTTAATAGTTTACAGTATAAAAATAAATATTCAGGAAGAGATATTTATTACTTTGATATGACTACTCAAGTGTGAATTTAAAATTTAAACCAAGGTTTAACCCAGGACAGTTAAGTTATAAAGCAACCATGACGCTAATTAACTAGTTATTAGGTTAGAAATCCAGTGGTACATGCTTTCTAACTTCGGTTAATTTGTGATAGAATGCAAACATGCAACTTGATTTTGTAATTTACATCAAGGATTAACCTTAGTTGAGTAACTGCTGGAAGCTAGAAAGCAATAAACAGCTGCTCCATTCTGGTATAGGACTCCTCAGCAGTTTGGATTCATAGTCCCACGGGGATCGAACCTTGAATAGACATGCCAAATCGCTAATTGATTGACGTTAGTGATTCGAACCACTGAATATCAACTCAGTAATCTAAAGATTAAATGTTCGTTGCGAGACCTGAGGGTTTGGGTTCAATCTGTAAAGGATTTGTGGATGAGAACTTCTGAGTCCAATACTATGACGAAACAGCTGTACACTGGCTCCTCAGATAACAGCAGTCATTTCGTGACATAAACTTTTAAACTCGACAATCTACAGAAACCTATAAATAATTTAATCACATTCTTCTCATACAAAACGTCATAACGCAGGTTGATTTACAGGTTGCTTAGAACACAATCAACCCATCATATGACTAGTTGACGATAATCTACCATAACCCGTTACCGTTATGACTTCACTAAAACTAAAACTTTATAACAGTACTAGAAATCAATATAATTACAGTCGTAGTAATAGTTCCAATTTTCTGAAAGTGTGAACGGAATTTAGAAAGAAATTAAAACCTTCAGATGATGATTAACCCTGTTCCTGAAAATTCTGTCTTCATGGAAATTCTCAGAAATACAAAATCATTCTGCGATATTCATTAAGAATGATATTACGCATTATCTTTTGGCAAATACTTGCTGTATAATGACCATCTAAACCACCAACCAATCAAATCCTATTCATTTTAACCGACAATCTATTGGGTGACAAACCTCAGGGCGATTGGATAGCACAGCAACTTTTAACTTCATAAAGATAAATAACAAACGAATGTCACTATCCATAAGGAAGTTATTCAAACACTATCCTTCAGTTGGTATACAAAGTAATCCACTAAAATTGACTCCATTTATCAGAGATAAAAAAACGACATCCTCAGTATAATTTATCGATCTTATCTAAAATAATATCATTTTTAAAAAGAAATCCAAATGAAACTCTGATTATCTAAACTGATTATACCACACTACTATGTTGAGTATTTGGAAATCGTAATTATTTCACTAAGAGGGAAAGGTGGAGAGATTCCATAAATTTAAGCAATACAAGAACGACAATATTTGCAATATACGATAGGTTTGCAAAGGAGTCAGACACCTTTGATCATACAATTTGAAGTAATGCTATCAATCCCCATTACATTTATTTACAACAATAAAAGTACTTTGGACAACTAGGAACGTGAAAATAAGAAATCAATGTCAACTCGAATGCATCAGACAAATTGAAGCAATTTCCAAACAAAAGGACTGGTTATGAACAGGGCAAAACAAACTCATTCCCGAAGTCCAAGCATTTCCCTGTGGTTGTGGACAGTTTCATACAAGAAGTACTGTAGATGAACACTTTTGATTCAAAATGCAACTCTAATATGCTGTCACCATTATTATTTGGCAAATTAAGCCAAGATCAACTGTCAGGAATCATAACAAATAGCAATAACCAGTTAAACTTAAATATACAAGAATAAGGTCCACCAGAAACACTATGAAAACCACTCAATAATTACTGCAAGGAGAAAATCATGGTTGTTGCTTCCCAGGTAGAACGTAAAATAAACCAACCATCTTATTTCTAGCATATTTAAGGATAAAAGGTGAAATACCATTCAACTCTGTATCAGCGACGAATATGAAGTAACGGGGACCAAGAACATAAGACCAATGTGAGGTCTGGATATCACAGAGACCCCACTCGAACCGTGAAGGTAAAAAGAACACTCTACTTCATAGTTAGTCAAACTAGACAGATCAAGAACAATTAGCAACGCAATATTACTAGACGATAAGTTCTCTGCACATATAAAGGAAGTCTTTTATGTAGCATTACATACCCCGCGTGGTCACTTCCTAAGAGACGATCAATGGAACTCATGCGGTATCACACTAACTACCCATAAACCACCCAAAACAAACGCCGTCCCGTAAGCCTAAAAAACAAACTGTTTGACCCCCACAGTTGTATTCCGGCGCCCTTTGGAGACCCCTCTGTTATACTTACCACTCAACTGGCTCAGTCAATCAGTCAGCAACAACGTAGAGTTTCGTACGTACGTACATCAGTTCAAGTTGCCATACCACATTAACACATAGACACAATTGTCGATTAAAATCCCATATTGGTAGAGGTAGTAAAAACATAAGCAGAAGTATAATCCAGTCAAATAAAAGTGGGAAGAGAGAAAGAAGGGGCATGAAGAATCCAGATTAGGATTTGGGAGAACACAGAGCTGATGTACCTGTGCCATTGCAAACGATATCGAGCCACGTCATTCAAGGTCTCTAACCATAGATTGCTATCATCTCGCAGTCCCCAACCAGGTAGTCTACACATACCAACATGGTTCAGTCAACTTGTCAATGACTTCATGAATTTGTGCTATGCTTTGGTCTGGCCGCCACTAGATTTCTCCCCACCTACTCCTACACCATAAAACATCGCACGTCGGGGCAGTCAGTGGTTGGGCATAAGTAACACACATCCCAGCCATCCCAACTGATGAAGTCTCACTAATTCATCAATTGATTTGCCATCCTTAACAAGTACCTGTTTTCTAACAACGGCGTTACTTACTCAGTGGTCTCAGGTTATACGAGCAATGCTTCAGTCACCCGTGAACGAATACTAGTAACTGACGAATACCCTCTACTCTTACCAGCCATGTTTCGTAGTCATAAAGTGGGACGGCACGGACTGCTGCGCAGTAAATCCGTCCTTTGGTTAGTAGACAGATACCTCAAACGTCCAGGAAGTGTCTAAGAACTTGTGGTTGGACATCTTTAGTTTTATTTGAGAAGCATCCCAAACAGTGAATCACGCCCAGATAGCGTTTTGGAACAACGTACCACGCCCGTTAGTACATGCTCCCATGAAGCAGTTATAAGAGCGAACTCATCACAGCAATAAACCTCGCTAACTAGACCATCGCTGTCCCAATAGTTGACAAGTACTCCCTTGACCCTAATCCTTTTGGATGTAGACACTAGATTTCGAAGTCTCGTAAATCCTACTGGCTTCAAAACAAAATATTTCTCCGAAAACAATTTTGTTTTAGGCTTTGCTTCACCTCAGATTTTCCACTTGTAATTGTTTATCTATTCTACCCGTGTACTTCTTTACTATTACTTCCATTAATATTTCATACGTATGTTCTACATCTTGTCATAAACCGACGAACTGTATAGCTAGTACCGATTCCTATAAAATGCAAGTGAAACAAGGCAACAACACCAAGACACACCTTAGAGATTGACATCTGACCTGACCTACAAAACGCGTCATACTAGGTGCTTGAAAAACGTTCTTTGATAAGCTGATAAACGCGAAATCAGATTTTTGGAGACTTCTGTTTAGCTTCAAACGAATAGTGTACGCAAATAATAATTCAAATAAGCTGATGAAAAACATTTATTGAAATCACATTGAAATTATCGTCTGCGATTATCCCTTATTTTCCTTGGAGTTCTTTCGCGACCTGATCTGCTCCTGCTTCGGTCTCGCCGCTGCCATCCTGATGATGAACGCGAGCGTGAACGGTAGAAATTTTTGTTACGATTGTATCTTGCATTGTAATTGAATTTATAATTATAATTGAAAGAAGGCACATCTCCATACGGTGTCCAAGATCGATCTCGACGGTTACCGTCAAAGTATTCATCAGATGAACGGGAACGACGGTCGCGAGTGTCGTGAACTTCCTTGCGTCCCCTCCGATCATGACGAGATCCACCAGAATGCTTATAACCACTCTGACGTTCATTTCTAGGAGAGTCTCTATATTGCGACCGACTTTTACTTTTAGAATGCCGATTGGAGGAGACATGGTCGTTTCGGGGTCTCTTAGCAACAGGACTTTCATCTTTCGTTACAGACTGTGGTGAAACGTCCCTCGAGTTTGAGGGTGAGATCGACTCATTCTTATCGGATACTGAAGAATTACGACGGTCTAAGGACCCATCAGCTGGGCTCACGTCGACAACAGAACGTGAAGAGTGGTCAGCAACATCAGGATCAGTTCTAGCAGGTGAATGTTCCAAACTTCCACTGTGCTCACGAGATGGACTTTGATGGGAATTGTGACTGACAGAGGACCTATTGGACTTGCGTTGGGACCGCTTCACACTACTTGATTTTGAACGAGAATGGACTGATGACTGTGAACGGTGAAGAGATGCTGATCGACCATCACTGGATGCAGAATGAGCTCTTTCTACATCTTCTCTTTGTGATGAATGAGAGTATTTATGTTTCCCCGAACGTGAACTTCGACTTGAATGACTTCTTTCTTTAGTTCGCTTTGGTGGACTACCATCCGAACTAGAACGGTTACGGTTAGATTCCCCACGAGAAGCATCTTTCGAATATTGAGAAGACTGTGACCGGTCTTTGCGTTTTGGTGGAGTCTGTGAACCATAAGACCGCCTCTCTCTGGGTGAACTCACTTTCGACTCGTCACTTGCTGCACCATTCCCATTGCGCGACAAACTTTTGGACCGGGCACGCGAGTGGTAACCTTTAGTTTGAGGACTTCTTGACCTGTATGGTGTCCCACTGCGGCTCGAATGAGATCGAGAGTGACGGCTGGCACTAGAACGACTCCTCTTGGATGTACTTCTCTTGCCTGAGCTCACACTCCGGCTCGAACCCGACCTACTTCGACGATATGATTGTCCGGATGACCGAGTGCGTTCAACGTAATATCCCTCTGCAATTTTGAACAACTCGTCAGGAATTGTTTGACGGGCTTCCTTCAGCACTTCAATAAGTTCCCGAGCCTAAACAAATATTAGGATAAAAAAAGTATAGCTTACCAATCTCGGTTGTTTGGCGCTAAAGAATGTATATGCAGTGCCTTTCTTGTCACTTCTACCTGTTCGTCCAATTCTGTGGATGTAATCTTCAGTTTGCGATGGATAGTCATAATTGATTATATACCGGACATCGTTAATATCTACAAACAAGGAAGCGGCATTGTTATCACTATTCAGAAAGTTTATTAGGACCCGTTAGCTCAACACATAGTAACTAAATTCCGCAACAATCAAAGCCTAATTAGATAGACCAACCTGGCACGTTTCATAAGGCCGAGGTGGCGTGGTTTTCATGGGTCCAGAACGGACACCAAAGTTCTGGTTCCCAAATCGCGTCCAAACGGAAGTATGGCGACCAATTTTATCCCAGAATTTTGCAACGAATACATAGTTCCAAGCTTACCGATCCAAATATTCAAATGAACGAAACCTTGTTCACCAACCAATTACAAAAACCAGCTTAGGACGAATACGTATCCAGAGGAACAAGATGATTGAGGTTGGATGATTTAACGCAAGATGTTCATGTGACTCTCTTATATCACCAAATCGTTCGTTACACTAATAGCCAATGTACCAATCCAACTGTTAAGACGGTCGACCAGACATAATCTGTGTCCAATACACGACCAAATGATTGGCGAAACCAAATTATACCAGTTTAACCAGAGGCCAATAATGGAGCCAATCGCTCCAACGACTCCAGAATGCCAAAACTCACCACACCCTGACATGTGATAGTTGAATAAGAAGAAAGTTACTCAGTGGTTGTTTAGGAATATTCAACAACAAAGAAGTAAAGACTTACCTAAGCCTCTAGATGCGACATCTGTGGCAACAAGAACAGATATATGACCTTCACGAAACACTACGAATTAGTGGGACAGAACTCAACTTACTGTCTAGAGCACGATCGCGTTCTTTTTGGTGTTTATCCCCATGCATGGCTGTCGCATCGAAACCCTTATCTTGAAGTTTTTGACAAAGTTCATCCGTACGTTTCTTGGTTTCCGTAAAGACAAGCACACGAGCATTGTCGAAGGAATTGAGTAGGCTGAGAAGGCGCTTGAACTTTTCACTCTCATTCAGAATTTCTACATGTTGTCGAATGTTGTGATTCGCACTCAACTTGGTTGAACCAACATTTATTTGAATGTAATCATAAAGGAAGTCTTCTGCCAGCGCTTTTACTTCCCTAGGCCATGTGGCCGACCACATCAAAGTCTGTCGGTCCGGACGAACTTGTGAGACAACCCTTCTAATAGAAGGTTCGAAACCCATATCCAACATACGATCAGCCTCGTCTAGCACTAAATAAGTACAGCGACGCATATTTGTATGTCTCGATTCCAGAAAATCCAGGAGACGACCGGGAGTCGCTATAACTACTTCAGGAGACTGTCCCAAAGCTTCTGCCTGACCAGTTCTTGATGCCCCACCATAAAGACATGCAGACTTGAACCCAGCTGAATAACAAAAATCTTCGGCAACCTTTTCTACTTGTTGCGCAAGCTCTCTAGTTGGAACAAGGATTAAAACAATCGGTCCATCCCCTCGTTTCAGGCTCGGTTGGGCTTTGGCGTGAACGATCGCTGGCAGGAGGAAACTAGCTGTCTTCCCTGATCCTGTCTGAGCTATCCCAACCAAATCACGTCCGCTGAGTGCTACCGGCCAACCCTGACATTGAATAGGAGTAGGCGAGTCCCACTTGCTTTTCTTGATTACGCTCATTATGTAACTTGGGAAGCCGGCCTCACTGAATTTGAACAAGGGCCTAGGAACATTGTGTCCAAGAACAGTAACTTTGTGCTTGGATCGAAACTCCTCGACATCTCTACGTGAACGATCACGAACGCTTGAACATTCATGATAAAACTTCTTTTCGAATTTAGCAAGAGTGTACGCACTCCAATCTACGGACCGAAGCCTCCTACCTCCTCCAAAAAACCCCCTGAAAATAGTTAAATCAAATAAGTCTACTTACCTTCGTCTAGGTGAGCGGAATCTGGAAAACCTGTAATACGGCATCACCAAGAATGAACTACCCACTAATGACAAACTCGAAAAAATAACAGGACCGAGTCAAATGACCCAGTGAAACAATGCAAGACTCAAAGTTCAATATACCATGAATTTAATATTAATTCAGCAGTAGTCGTGAATAAAAAAATTAAATTATATTAAAGTGGCTCAAACGAAGTTTCCTCTTAGAAAGCAGGTATCGTCTGATTTACTATTTTTCGTTGATGATTTGAAACTTGAGAGAAGTACGTAACCAAGACGATAAACTGGCACTTCAAGAGTATCTGATTTTACTTCAAAGTGTAGAGTAGTCCATCTGAAACATGCTGCAGACTACAAGTACAACTTAGGCAACTCCCCTCCAAAGGTATCACAAGTTGAAAAAAATCTAGGAGTGTTGGTATCCTATGATTTGAAGTCTTACGCTAACTGCGACAAAAATGCCTGCCGAGCAAACCTCGCACTGGTAATGTTGAAGTGCATTTTCGGCCAGTTCGACGGAAGAACTTTCTACATAGTCTTCAACAGCTTTATCCGTCCCTATTTAGAGTGCAGAAACAGTATTTCCCCCTTCACTTCAAAAGGAACGCATCCAAAGGCGAGTCACGAAATCGATTCGGAGCACAAATGCAAGCCTCATGAGGAGCGCCTTCAATCACTGAACTTTGACCCACTAGAATACAGGCGTTTTAAAGGTGACCTAATGGCTTATAGCATCCATAACACTTACGGACACCCCCATAAAAACTTAAGCTTAGTCCCAACACAGAGCTCAGAGGTAACACTCAGAAACTGGAGACACGAGACGGCAGAATGAACTGTAGATACGCCTTCTACTTCTTAAGAGTAGTCAAATGTGGAAATTTACTGGCAGCTGACCTAGTCCAAATGACCTCACAGGAGTCCTTTACGAGAAAACATATTCTTAAGGACTAAGAACAATATATTACCAGGATTTACCAACTTTTTCGTTTGTCTCTTTCGTCGTTAATATACCTAGGTTCCTACCTGGAGGTATCGGTAATCCATTGTTACCAGATACAGAAGCCCGTTAAGCAAAAGCTTCTTCTATCCCATCCAGAACCATTTGAAGCTACAGTGTCTGGTAGCAATTGATCATCTTGCTCAGGTATAGGTATACGAAACAAGAGGCAAAATAATTATTGACACGGTGTGATATGCCATTTTTCGTATTTAATAATATATCAAGTTTCCTATCTGAAGACCTTTTGGACTTTGTTTAGATCACCTCAAATGTTAGGGAGTTATAATATGTAACTACTCATACAGTAAAAGTTTTATTATGTCGTATCTCTTGTTTGCAAGTATTTCCTACGACTTTTCGGTGAGGCTTGACTTGAAAACAATTATTCAGGCGGAATTTCGTCTGACAAATTACCGAAGCGAATAGCTCTGTGATTCTTCAACAATGGTGCTGACCAATATCAACTTTATTTAACATATCTCCTACTGAAGGAGCTCGGCCAAATATCCGAACCAGATAACGTTTCAAAACACCTCCGAGAACACGTCCTTAGATGATTACTCAGCCTCGATATTATGCCAATTGATTCATCATAGTATTGAGCAGGTTTCTACGTGACATATATGAGGTATGGGGGCACACAACATCTGCTATGATGGCATCTAAAATACGATCACGCTATGACTCATTTAAAACAAATTTCTCGCGTAGGATTGTGAGGATAAATTACATTTGATGCGGGGTCATCAGAACTGTAATTTGGCTTGAACCTGTTGGCAATTTATGCGTCATAGTGACTAAGGTTTTCACTGGAAACAGATGAGTTGTGAAAACAGGCTTTGGTGTCGTCGAAATTTGATAGTCAGCATCTGATATGACGTCATTAATCCGATCAGAAATCGATTTGTTTGAAACATTTGCCACATGATTATGTTGAAATTCACCCAACGTAACTGGATAATTGAAATGAGAGACATCTGATACAAGTACATTTGAACACTGTCCAGGGTCTATCTTCCTAAAGACTTTGTTGACCTCTCCCTTTTAAAATTCTTGTCAATAATTGGTATGTTTGGTCGTCACTAATTTTTATGTCGAAATCGTTTATTACTTATGCTTGTAAAATGAGGAACAACTGCAAATTCGACTCTTCGTTTGATCCTTTGTTGGACGTATGGTTCGCCTCTATATTCGTTTGCTCACGTTAACTAGCTTTTCTGCTTGAATTCAGCTGGTGTGATCGTGTCATATTGATCTGTGCTATTCGATGATAAACAGAAATTGGCGATCCGAGTTGTCCTCTGAATTCAAACGTCATTGAGATGGATTTAAATACGGTCGTCGGAACGATTGATATAGGAAGCGTGAGGGATTATCTTGGAGCTAATCCACTGCACTCACTTAGCACTGATCGGTGAACGATGCTAATCAAGGGTGATACATTCACCACATCCTTTCCGAGTAGTTCCGATGCCGCACTTCTCTGAGGAGGAATTTGTACATATCACCATACATAATGCAGAGGACGTCTCTCAACACTGACCGTCTGTAATCGGTTATATATATCCTGTCTTGAGGTTCTTTATCTGAACTTAAGGTAGCTCAATTCTTGAAACGTTCAAAACAGCCTCCAGTACTTAGTCAGACCCCTCTGAAATACATTTCTGAGTCATGGTATCTCACCTTAAATAAAATATTGCTTTTCTGAAACGTATTCCGATAAGAGCTTGCAAAACATATCTATAATCCCGATAGGCCTGTGTCATGATCAATGTGAAATATATGAGGTTTTAAGAATGTTAACCCTATACGGTATTCTCGAAAGTGAAGATAGTCAAAGACCATTGCAACCGAAAAAATCCTTCTATTCAGAAAACTCGGACGTAAATTGAGACGATGACAATAAATTCTACAGTTCCTAGAAAGCGAAGTCTGAAACTAACACTAACAATTAAATTATATCTACCATTTAACATACTACTCTATACACCTAAATGCATTCATCACAAATAATCGGAACAACTTAGATGAAGTAATTAGGAGTCGGACAAAAGTATCTCAAAGATATCGAAACATCACAGCCCGAGTATTTATTTATTTCCTTATTTTGCATTGGTATTATATTTCCTATTATTCCATATTGAATGCTGAAGGTCTTGTCGGGAGTTTGAACTTCGCGTTGCAACTGTTCTGTTCCCTAATCTGAATAATTACCTACTACAATCATCAGTTTGGCTTATTCTTCCCCTACACTCACCATTCGGACCCATGTTTTCAACTTTCCGTTAAGATAAAGTATAACATGCTAACTCGGACTTTTACACTGGGACTGTGTGGCAGGCATCGGATGGAAAAAAATTTATAAAATAAGACAATAAAAGATATAGTTACTAGTTTTCTTAACACTTTACACTCTATATGCACTTTCTGTTCTAGCAAACAGCCTTCCTTATTCCGACCTTGACTTCCCTTCCTTCATTTGAACTTACTCCACCTTGGTAAACATCACAACTCATTGTTCTTTATTACTGCGTTGTCTCATCTGGAGCCTCTGATCATATATCCCTCTAGCAACAAGAGCTAGTATGAATTTCATCTGATAATTTACCATGCCTCTCTTTGTTCCACTACAAAATGTTAAGAATTGTTTATCGTTAATATCCAAGTGCCATGCTGCTCCTCGGTTTCTTTTTTTCAGAATCTTGCTCTGACTACACAGCTATGTAAATTCTGACATCTGGAACAAACTCGACACACGCGTTTTCCCAAGGTCATGGTTCACACCAAGCGCTCTACAAGTCTACTTTATAACAACTATAAACTTAAAAAGTTGCATTGCATAAATACTTAGTACGACCAAAATCCTAACACAATTATTCCGAGATTGGATCTGGTGTGTAACGGGGACGCGATGCCACTTTGGGAAATATTTTGAAGACTACTCAGTATATCTGAACGAATGAACTGATATTCACGTCTGAAGATTGTATTTATTTACCAACCTTGCTTGGGATGCATACTGCGAACCAGTATATGTTGTAATTTGTAGATCATACATGTAAAAATGGCGTGAACCTGCCATTGCAGAAATATAATATTGTCATTATTATATAAATAATGCCTTTATAAAACTGCTGAAAAAATTTTCCTTGTTTAGAACTAGCATGTTTTACAACCCCGTACTGGTACCCATTGCAATTATAGTTTCTCAAACTTTTGCAAGGGGGCTCAATGTTTACTTTATTTCTGTTTAGTTACTGTGTGTTGTTTCTTGATCAATATTTTCACTACCAACTAATATTCCCATCCTTCATACTGTACAACATGAATGACGCTTTTTTGCGACCAAGAGCTCGCCCTGACTACCCAACCGCAGGCACTTAAAAACAGTCAATTGGCATTTCTGTCAAGAGACGTTTGAATTTTGGAGTTACTACGAGGAGACAATTGGTCAGCGACTAGGTCTAAATATTTTGTTACTCATGAAGAACTGACAACCCTCTTAAGTATCTCTCATTCTTACCACCTGGTCTACTATCTTGTTTCGGGGAAACTCTAATTTATGGACGAGCCAATCAGAAGCGTTTGAGGAATTTCAAGGTCACGGCGCTAAGTTCAATACGAGACACTCACATTCGATCGTTTCACAGCAGATTTTAGAGAAGAGGTGATTTTTGAGCGACTACAACAGATGGGACTATTAGGAAGTTCCTGTATCTGTGACCGCGGCAATCAAATGACTGCAGCACGATGTGCAGACTACCATGATGACATTAGATTTCGTTGTATTATATGTTAGAAGATAAAATCTGCTCGAACTTGCATTTCCTTCGCTCGATCACGACTCAGACTACGGCAAATCATGATAATTGTTGCAAATTGGATTATGAAGCCACCAGTAACATTGGCTGCAACTTTTGCAGTTGTGCACCCTAACCCTAAACCCTAACCTTAACCCTAACCCTAAACCCTAACTCTAACCCTAAACCCTAACTCTAACCCTAAACCCTAACCTTAACCCTAAACCCTAACGCCATGCACTATGATTTCAGGACATCTGAACCTTTAGCTAACCTTAATAAGTTTTA